TGAGATAACATTTTGTCAGGATTTTATCAGCATTGCTTCTTCAGAACAGGGACCAGTGACCAAAATCTCCTTAGAATGTTGAGCACATGCCATGTTAGAGTTGGCCTGTGAAACTGGAATGGCCCTTGGGTAGGCTTTAATGCAGCTATCCCTACCTTTGTTTAACTAGAGACCCTGGCAGGTTTTAGTTTGGTCGTTTGTTCTCCATCACTCCTTTCCTTTCTTTATGCTGTCATTTTTTAAGTTTGTTTGTAACATTTTGGGGGGACATTTTGAACATAAAAAGGAAGAGAATAGGCCGGGTGCGGTGGCTCACGCCTGTAATCCTAGCACTCTGGGAGCGAGGGGCAGATTGCTTGAGGTCAGGAGTTCGAAACCAGCCTGAGCAAGAAGCGGACGACCCCCCCCCGTCTGTACTATAAAGAAATTAATTGGGCCAAGCTAAAATACATAGAAAAAATTAGTTGGCACATGGTGAACACATGCCTGTAGTCACAGAATACTTTGGAGCTAGCAAGAGATTGCTTGAGCCCAGGAGTTCTGACGTCTGCTGTAACTAGGCGCCATCACACTAGCAATCTAGACACGCAAAACAACAGCGAGACTCTGGATCAAAAAAAGAAAAAACAAAAGGAAGAGAATAAATATAAATTCCCATGGTGGACAACATGACATTCTTGTCTTTTTTTCTTTTAAACTGAACCGCAAGTTTTCATTTACAGAGCACAATAAAACACATCTCATACTCCACACTAGAGCAGGTAGAAGGCTTGCTCTCATCCTGCTGGTGAGAACAGCAATGTTTGATTTTTGTTATTTCTCTTTTAATTAAAGCACTGATATCAACAATCATTAGTTTTATTTTCCCACTGCTGCCTCCTGGATTATTTTGAAGATAAAATTAAAGATATCCAATCCACATTAATTATGTAAAACTACTTAATATGTATACTCCACAGAGACAGACTCTTTAAAAAATCTACCCAATATGTATACCCCCACAAAACATTAACAATAACCTCATCATCTTATCATTTTTTCTCTTCTTTTCCTATGTTGGTTTGTGAAATAATTCTCTTTAATCAGACTAAAATACTACAGTGTTCAGATATCTCATCATCTTTTATTTGACAGAGTCAATTACTGTTGCCCTGGCTAGAAGTGTTGTGTATAAACGACGCACCTAGCTACCACAGACAACCAATCAAACATCCTGGCTCAGTAAACACCTGCATGCCTCAGCTCCTGAGTAAGCTGGGACATTACAGCATGCACCACCCATACAAGCTAAGGTAACATAAATTTTATATATACCCAACCCTACATTATTATAGTTTGCCAGCTTAAGTTTTCATTCTATTTATTAGTAGCAAGATGAGGCATCTCGCCTCATTGCTAGGCCCGTCTCTAACATCGAGCCTCAACCGACTTCACCCACTCAGCCCTCTTAGAGTGCTAGAATCCTACAATACCATAGTGATACACAGTCACCACGAAACACCAGCCACTGTAAGTTGTTTGTTCAAATCAGTAATCAAATGAGGTCCACACCTTATATTTAGTTGATATGTTTCTTTAATTTTATAATAACTTTTTATTTTAAAATAATTTCAAGGCCAGCCTTTAATCCCAGCACAAGGAGGATCGCTTGAGCCCAGAAATTCAAGATCAGCCTCAACAACATAGTGAGACTCCGTCTCTACAAAAAAAAAATTTTTTGGAGACAGAGTCTCACTCTGTTGCCCGGGCTAGAGTGTCATGGCATCAGCCTAGCTCATAGCAACCTCAGACTCCTGGGCTCAAGCAATCCTAATGCCTCAGCCTCCCGAGTAGCTGGGACTGCAGGCATGTGCACCTGCCCAGCTAATTTTTTTCTATAGGTTTTTAGTTGTCCAGCTAATTTCTTTCTATTTTTTAAGTAGAGACCTGGTCTCACTGTTGCTTAGGCTGGTCTCGAACTCCTGAGCTCAAATGATCCGCTCGCCTTGGGCTCCTAGAGTGCTAGGATTACACATGTGAGCCACCACTCCCGGCCTCTACAAAAAAATTTTTAAAAAATTAGCTGAGCATGGTGACACACATCCATAGTCCTAGCTAATTGGAAGGATCACTTGAACCCAGGAGTTTGACATTATAGTGAGCTATGATTGTTCCACTGCACTCCAGCCTGGGTGACAGAGCGAGACACTGTTTAAAATTTTTAAAAATGAAGTAAAATAGAAATAAGTTAAATAATTTCAAACTTAAAAAGTATAATACATAGGACTCTCATATACTCTTTACCCTGATTCATTGATTATTAATATTTGCCACATTTGTTTTGTCATCTTTATACATATTCTTATTCTAACCTTTTAAAAGTAAGCTGCAGCATGATGCCCTTTTAGATTTAAATATTTCAAGGTATATTTCCTAAGAAGAAGAATCTCCTTTTGGCCGAGCACCATGGCTTGCACCTGTAATCCTAGCACTCTGGGAGGCCAAGGTGGGCAGATTGCCCAAGGTCAGAAGTTTGAAACCAGCCTGAGCAAGAGCGAGACCCATCTCTACTGAAATTGAAGGAATTAATTGGCAACTAAAATATAAAGAGAGAGAGAAAAAAAAAAAATTAGCCGGGCATGGTGGCACATGCCTGTAGTCCCAGCTACTTAGGAGGCTGAGGCAGGATTGCTTGAGCCCTGGAGTTTGAGGTTACTGTGAGCTAGGCTGACACACCATGTCACCTACCCAGGCAACAGAGTAAGACTCTGTCTCAAAAAAAAAAGAATCTCCTCATATATAACCACTGTTCTGTTATAAGATTGGATCATTTAACACTGATATGTTATTATTTTCTAATTTATAGTGCATATTCAGATGTTATCAATTGTACCAATAGTGTTCCATTATAGTAGTCTAGGTCACACATTGTATTTAAAGTGTCATATCTCTTTATTATTCTGTGATCTGGAACAGATTCTTAATCTGTTTTGTCTTTCATGACCTAAAGATTTTTTTTTTTTTTTTTTTTCTGACAGCGCTTTAATGGGATTGCTTAGCTGGTTACATGCGGAAACCTACCTTAAAATTTTTGACTTCATTTGAGTTATCTGAAATTTCTTTCTTTCCTCTTCTCTTCTTTTTTTTTTTTTTGAGACAAGATCTCGCTCTGTTGCCCAGGCTATATATAGTGCAGTGACGTCATCACAGCTCATTGCAACCTCCAACTCCTGGGCTCAAGCAATCCTCCTGCCTCAGTCTGTTGAGTAGCTGGGACTACAGGCGTGTGCCACGACACCTGGCTAATTTTTTATTTTTCTTAGAGACAGGGTCTCGCTCTTGCTCAGGCTGGTCTCGAACTCCTGAGCTCAAATGATCTTCCTGCCTCGGCCTCCCAGAGTGTTAGGATTACAGGTGTAAGCCACTGTGCCTAGCTGAAATTTCTCGTTTTTTTCTTTCTTTACTTTTATTTTTTTTGAGACAGAGTTTCACTCTGCTGCCCAGGCTAGAACAACATAGTGCCTGAACAACATAGCCTGAACAACATAGTGAGACTCACAGCGTCAGCCTAGCTCACAGCAATTTCAGACTCCTAGGCTCAAGCAATCCTACTGCGCCAGCCTCCTGAGTAGCTGGGACTACAGGCAGGCGCCACACATGCCCAGCTAATTTTTTCTATATATTTTTAGTTGGCCAATTAATTTCTTAATATTTATAGTAGAGACGGGGTCTCACTCTTGCTCAGACTGGTTTTCGAACTCCTGACCTTGAGCAATCCGCCCGCCTCTGCCTCCCAGAGTGCTAGGATTACAGGCGTGAGCCACCACACCCGGCCTCAAATTTCTTGATGAATAGACTCAGTTTATGCATTTTTGGTAAGAAAACCATAAAAATGATGTTAATCTTTTTTAGTGTATCATATCAGAGGCACATGGTGTCAGTTTGTTTCATTATTGGTGATATTAACTTAGGTCACTTGCTTCAGGTGATATCCTCCAGTATTTCCTACAGTTATTATTTTCCCTTTGTAGTTAATAAGTATTTTGAACCTATGTAAATATCATCTTTTTCCTGAAAGTTTCAACTACTGGTTTTAGCATCCATTGATGATGTTTGCCTGAATCAACTATTACTTCTTCCATTCTTTCTGTGTTTATTAGTTGGCATTGTACTATAAGAGAGAGCTTTCCCTTCTCCTTTATTATGTATTTATCTATCAGAATAGACTCGTGAATTCTTTTTTTTGTTTTGTTTTTTTGGGGGACAGAGTCTCACTGTGTTGCCCTTAGTAGAGTGCTGTGGCATTGGCCCAGCTCACAGCAACCTCAAACTCTGGTGCTCAAGCAATCCTACTACCTCAGCCTTCCCAGTAGCTGGGACTATAGGCCGCATCACCATCACTGCACCTGGCTAATTGTTTCTATTTTTAGTAGAGGCAGGGTCTCATTCTTCCTCAGGCTGGTCTCTAACTCCTGACCTCAAGTGATCCTCCCGTCTTGGCCTCCCAGAGTGCTAGGATTATAGTGGTGAATTCTTATTTTATTCAATGGGTTATAATCTTGGGTCTCTTAATATATGGGTTCCCCGTGCTTTTTTTCCTTGAAATTTATGTGTTAAAGAAATCAGGTCACCTGTCATGGTTTCCACATTGTGGATTTTGCTGGTTATATTCCCATGGTAAATTTACTCGTAACTGGCAGTTATATCTGTAGGCATGATCAGGTTTGAATTTTTAAATTTTTTAGGGCCAGAAGCACTTCCTAGATGGTGTTATGACACACTTTTCATTTTTTTTCTCACCCCTTCCCAGAGGTTGGAAAGGTGTATGAGCATTGTGACGTCGATGACTGCTGGTGTCTCTGAGAGAGAGGCCAATGATGCCCTCAATGCCTACGTAAGTAGAGTGCTTTTCCCACAGCCATTTCTGCTGCTGTGAAAGCCCTGAGTCATGGCCAAAATGATGGAAATGCTAAGTAGCTAGGGGACTGAGGTTCATATCTTGGCTCCCAGAACTAGGTTTCCCAGCTCCTCTCTCTTACTTTGGAAGCCTCTCTCTTGGAAAATTGGACATCTTTAAGAACTTTTTATTTTTATAGAGATGGGGCCTTGCCATGGGGGTTGCCTAGGCTGGAGTGCAGTGACTACTCATGGGTATAATAATGGCACACTGAAACCTTAAACTTCTGGCCTCAAGAGATCTTCCTGCCTCAGCCTCCCCAAGTACCTGAGGCTGTAGGTACACCACTGCACCTAGCTTTATACATTTTTTTTTTTCCAGAAACAGGGTTTTACTCTGTCTCCCAGGCTGGAGTATACTGGCACAATCATAGTTCACTGCAACCTCAAACTGTTGGGCTCAAGCAATCCTTCTGCCTCAGTCTCCCAAGTAGCTAGGACTACAGGCATGTGCCACTGCACCCAACTGATTTTTCCTTTTAATTTATTTGTAGAGATGGGGTCTTGCAATGTTGCACAGAGTGATCTAGAACTCTTGGCCTCAAGTGATCCTCCCACCTAGGCCTCCCAAAGTGCTAGGGTTATAGGCATGAGCCACCACACCCAGCCTATACATTATTTTTAATAATTTTGCACATGAAACAAAGTTTTGACTGTGACCCATCACATGAGATCTGTTGTGGAATTTTCTACTTGTGTCATGTTGGCACTCAGAAAATTTTAGAGTTTGGAGCATTTCCGATTTGTGGATTAGGGATGCTCAACCTATAATATATTATTCTTACTGTGTCTTCACTTTACAAATTTCAGAAGTTCAATGATTTGCCCATGGTAACAGTTTGGTGGATGTGCTTGTTATTCCATGACTGACTCTTTGCACCTCTCTTTTTGCTGAAGGCTGTTAAGTTCTGATAAAGGTGGTAGTAGAGTAGGATTTTTTGTTTTGGTTTTTTCCACTTTAAACATTCTTTATTTTCTGCCTCTGTTATGCTCCAAACTTTTGGAGGAAGCAAGAATTTATCCCTTCCTTCCACCTCTTTCCTAAAACAGCTGCCTCATCCCCTCCCTCCTTTTTTTTTGAGACAGAGTCTCGCTTTGTTGCCCAGGCTAGAATGCTGTGGAGTCAGCTTATCTCATAGCAACCTCAAACTCCTGGGCTCAAGCAATCCTCTGCCTCAGCCTCCTGAGTAGCTTGGACTACAGGCATGTGACACCATGCCTGGCTAATTTTTTCTATATATTTTTAGTTGGTCAATTAATTTCTTTCTATTTATAGTAGAGACTGGGTCTTGCTCTTGCTCAGGCTGGTTTTGAACTCCTGATCTCGAGGGATCCGCCTGCCTCGGCCTCCCAGAGTGCTAAGATTATAGGCATGAGCCACTGCGCCAGGCCCCCTCCCTCCTTTTTATTTTTATTTTTTATTTTATTTATTTATTTTTTGAGACAGAGTCTCACTCTGTTGCCCAGGCTAGAGTTCCGTGGTGTCAGCCTAGCTCACAGCAACCTCAAACTCTTGGGCTCAAGCAATCCTTCTGCCTCAGCCTCCCAAGTAGCTGGGACTACAGGCATGCACCACCATACCTGGCTAATTTTTTCTATATATTTTTAGTTGGCCTATTAATTTCTTTCTATTTATAGTAGAGATGGGGTCTCACTCTTGCTCATGCTGGTTTTGAACTCCTAACCTTGAGTGATCCTCCCGCCTTGGCCTCCCAGAGTGCTAGGATTACAGGCATGAGGCCTTATTTTTTTTTAAGAGACAAGGTCTCACTATGTTGTCTTGGCTGGAGTGCAGTGACTAGTCACAGGCACGATTGTATTTCACTGCATCCTGAAGTTCCTGGGCTCAAGTGATTCTCTCCCCTCAGTCTCCTGAGTCATTAAGACTACAGGTGTGAGTCATCGCACCTGGCTTCCTTATCCCTTTTAAGAGGACGAAATCATCAGATTTAAGAGTTGGTGATTACCTTTTGCATGGTAAGCAGATGTCGAGAACTTTCTACCTATGAGTGACAACTAGTTTTTTTCTCATCCTCACATTCCAGGTATGCAAAGGGCCCCCCCAGCATGAGGAAATCTGCCTGGGCCTCTTTACTCTTGTTCTTACTGAACCTGCCCAAGCCCAGAAGGTAAGACACCCTCTCTGGACCCACAAACCCTGCTCATATATGATCTGGGAATATGGTGGAACTTGTAGTTTAACTGGGGTAGTATGAGACTCTTTAACCAGAGCTGGATCACCTTGTTCTCCAAATATATTTACACCTCCCTTTTTACTCTCAGTGAATTGGTCATCCTTTAACTAAAGTTGTTTCTCTACTTCCAGATTCTGAAGCTAAAAGGCAATTGTCAGAGTGAAAAAGCACATAGATTTAAAAATTTTAGATTTATGAGGCAAGGCTAAAAGGATTGGAATTTAATCCAGAGCAGAGAAGAGAACAACTGTAACCAAGTCCATGCGAGCTCTTAGCCAGTAGAGCATGACCTGTAGTTTGCAGGTTCTGCCGTTGGTAGGTGAATAGAAAGCAGGCTTAAAATTGCAGCAAGTAGGATTTAGATTAGACAGCTTAATGTTACATGATTGATGCAGTAAATAATGTTGTGGTTAAGAGAACACTAAGGTACACTGGAGTCAGACTTCCTGAGGCATATTGTATAAAAACTAGTTTGGGCTTCTTCACAAACAAAAGAGTTTCCCTCATGTGGAATGGTTTAAGTGGGGTTCTTCCTTGAGGTGAGAGACTAGGCAGGGTGATCTCTTTATATTCTGTTCTGTTGATAATAAAGTAGCAAAATTCTGTTTTCTGCCTCTCCAGATTTCCTCTTTCCAGCAATTCTGTGTCCTTTGGGTCTTGATATGATGATGTAAAGTCTGTCTCTGGTATCTGGCATTGACTGTGTGACACTAACAAGAGAAGGGCTTAGAGTAGGGGAATTCAGTATTCTCATTGGCTCTTCCCTGAATAAGGGTGATGTGGAAGGAAACAAACATGTTCTATGCCCAGCATTCTGTTAGGCTTTATCCAGACAAGATCCCATCTTACCTTCCCTCAAAACCATAGGAGGTTGCTGGCTTTATCCTCTTGCCCAGACTACTTCTAGTTTACCTGTGAGGCTTGAAGGTCAGATATGTTGTCATTTGTTTAATCAAGGAAAACCAAAGGAAAATCATTCCCAGGAACGAGAACAGGATGGTCATGGTGCCCTGGCACAGCTGCTTGAGTTAGCCTCCGGGGAAGGATTTATGGACCTGGGAACCTGATCTATTTGTACTTCTCTGATTCCAGCTGGAATAAGGTCTAGGGTGAGTGTGGGCATTGAGGCAGCAAGTATGAACAACTCCTTGGTTTCCCAGAAAAGCCAAGGCCCTTCTGAGCTGGGACCTTGTTGAATTAAATGGCTATTTTATTTTCATACTGAATTTATCATCAAGATCCTTGAAGACATATGAATGTCTCCAATTTGGTGGTGATATGATCCAGTTTAACCCCACCTATTTTAAAGAAATTGTTGGCGTAGATGGGTTAGGGTCAAGGTTTAATCACCCTCCTGCCTTTTTCTTTTTGAAGCTGGTCTTGAGCTTCTGGGCTCAAGCAATCCTCTCACCTCATCTTCCCAAGTAGCTGAGATCACTGTGCCTGGCTAATTTTGTCTGCGTTGTTTTTTAAAAATATAATTAAAATCTCATTTAGTCATCTCATGCAAATTAGTCTTGTCTGTTGGAAAGCTTTGGTGTGTTTGTTTGTTTCAGTTGATCTGAACCAGCCAGGGTAAATCAGTAAACCTCAGCAAAGGGGGCAGAGTATGTGTGGTAATTCTAGCCCTTTGCCTGGCCTGGCAGTCAGAAGCTCTGCATTGTAAATGCATGTTATGTTATAAATTTGGCCATCCGGACATAGCAACAGACTAGAGCATCTCCTCTTCTTTTTGCCCTATGACAACCCTATGAAGGAGGCCCAGCCCCTCTGGGGAGGTGAAATATCTTGCGTTGGATCTCATAACTGGTTGACAGCTATGCCAGGATTCCTGTTCACATGCTAACATTTTCCAAATCTGCTACCCATGAGCCTCCTAGGCTAAGCCCCCAGGTCAGGCCTTTTCAGACAAAGGTGGTAGAGACAGAATTAGGAGGATGCAGTTTTAGGTGAATGAGGAAGTATCAGGAAGTGACTCATTCAGAGACCTTGAGCCAAGTCAGAGTGTGGTGGAAGCATTAGTGACATATCTCCCTAGAGCTTTGATCCTTCTCTCTTTTTTTTTTTTTTTTTTTTTGAGACAGAGTCTCGCTTTGTTGCCCAGGCTAGAGTGAGTGCCATGGCGTTAGCCTAGCTCACAGCAACCTCAAACTCCTGGGCTCAAGCAATCCTGCTGCCTCAGCCTCCCAAGTAGCTGGGACTACAGGCATGCACCACCATGCCCGGCTAATTTTTTCAATATATATTAGTTGGCCAATTAGTTTCTTTCTATTTATAGTAGAGACGGGTCTTGCTCTTGCTCAGGCTGGTTTTGAACTCCTGACTTTGAGCAATCCGCCCACCTTGGCCTCCCAGAGTGCTAGGATTACAGGCGTGAGCCTCTGTACCCCGCCTGATCCTTTTCTCTAAAAGACTAATTACTTTGTAAAAAACTTACATCCTGCAGAAAAAAGTTTTAGGTGGAAGTTACTGGTGAGAACTGATTCTAATGCACTGTTTTAGGCTTCAACTTAAAGCAAGGGGACTGTTTTTTAAGGGTTTATATTTAGAGGTAATTCTACTTTTGAAACAGAAACCTCTGGATGGATTTGAGATTTAATTGTTCTGAATCTCTACAGGCCTAGATATAGGTGGTGGGGTTGGCAGAGAAGATAATGGTGAAAACTGAGTCTTGAACACATTAGAAACCTGCTCTGGAAAAGCATAAGCTGAGAAACTTGTTAATACTGGCAGGCAGGTTCAAGGTGTTAGGGCCAGCTCTCTGGGATTTAGTGGGTAGATTGAATAGGCGAACAAGAGGACTCAGTTAAGGAGAAAGCAGGTCAGGTATTGGTACAGAGTAGAATATGCATAAGGTGGATTTTGTTCCAGTTGTACCTTCATGATTTGCATCTGCTCTTTTGGCAGCTCCTAGGAATATTTATGTTCTTTGGGTTTATTTTTTCATAGATAGGCTCTTGCTCTGTTGCTCAGGCTGGAGTCCAGTGGCATGATTCTAGCTCACTGTCACCTGGGCTCAAGCGATCTGCCCTCCTTGGCCTCCCAAAGTGCTGGGATTATAGGCGTGAGCCACTGTGCAATGCCTCTTGGAGTTTATAATATCCCATTTGATGTCCGAACTAAGCAGTGGAACAGGCCTAGGCTGGGGACCTGTGCTGAGGAGGGAGGCTGAGCTGTAGGCCTAAGCTATGGAGGCTCCAGCAGTCAGTAGATAAAGGTAATGGGAAAGGGTCTAACATCAGTGCCAAGATCTTTCTTCATCAAAGGGTCAAGGGTCCAGGCAGTTCTTGATCTGGGTGATTCTCCCACCAGGCAGCTCTAGAAAGAAGGTTGGGGGCTATAAGGGCCTAGGCTGGAACAATATTGCTCTTGATATGGTCAGGATAGCTGTGCTACCTCAGTGCCATCCTGTCATCTTCCCTTTCTTTTGAGACCCTCTGCTTTTCTTCTCTGTTCTTTGCTGAGGTTTTTTCCCCATCTGCCAGTCACCAAATTGGCACAGAGATTGGTAAGACAACCAGTAGCCTCAGGGATATGATACTCTTGGTGCCCAGCTGCCATGTGTTACCAGCAGTTATGTTTAATAAAGGTCCCAGGTAGAGTATGGAATTAGGCAGACGGTGTCTGCTTTCTTCATCTGACCCTGTATCTCCTGAGATACTTGTCCTTCTTCCCTGTCCTGAGTCTGTTCTGCATTTCCAGGATTTCTGCTTTCAGTTGAACAAGTGTCTTCTCTGGTTAGCACTGTCTCTATCTTTGGCCTGACACATATTTTCCTTCTGTCACCTCCCTCATCCTCTCTGCCCATTCTGTGACTTACCTGTGGGAGAGGCTCCAGGGCTTCATTACCAACATTTGCTGACCAGCACATTCGCAGCAGTTACCTGGGCTCCTTTATCTCTTCCCTGTTTCCTTGTTTTCTTGATCTCCCAACTGTCCTGCAGATGGAGTCAGAAGATAAACTCTTCTTTGGGTATAAAATTTGTGGCACATAGGGGATCTCTAACTGTTGTATTTTTATCACATCAATTTATTTGACCTAAGACAACAGAGGCAGAAGGAAGTAACAGTAGCTCATCTGTAAGGAGTCTCTTGTCACACTGAGGCCAGAGAGCAGCTGGTCTTGAGGGGTACATCTCTTTTGAATAGTCAGAATGAAAGAGTTTAGAAATGTAGTTGTCTCAAAACCATCACAAACTCTTACTTCCATCCCTGGAAGCCTCTTTTCCTTCTAGTTATTTCTAACGTTGGTATAAGAGGTTGTTAAGCGTGGAATTTAGAATTGGACTGCCTAGATTTGAATCCTGGTTCTTCCTCTAATCTCTTATGTGACCTGGAATGAATTGCTTTAACCTCTCTATGCCTGTCTCCTCATTTGTAAAAATAGAGATAATAATGAATATTATCTATTTCAAAGGTTGTTTTATGTATCAAATGCAATAAATTATATTATACAATATAAAGTTTATGCACCATGCCAAGGATTGTTAACTATTATTATTGTTATTGTTGATGCCATCTTTGCTACTGGCCTTCAGAGGTTGTGGAAAGCTACCTACCTAATCTCTACCCTTTCTGATGAGACCCTGACAGGATAGAACTCAGCAAGCTAAGCAGGTTGCTAATGAGGTCCCCTAGAGTGTTCCTCCAGGAGTCTTGTCTCACTAGAGAGACAGTGTTAGAAAAGCTCTAAGGGGAAGGGAAGCAATGACTTTCGCAGAAGAAACTGGCATGTCCTCCCTCACCTCCCCCAGGGATGAGGATGCTAAAGGAACTCTCCTTTTTCAATACTTGGCAGAAGCAAGGGGCATCCCAGTGAAAAGAAAAAAGACATTTAGTTAAGGAAATTCAGTTCTGGTTCTGCCCTTTCTGTCTGGGGCCTGCCCTGATCCTCTTCCCTTAATACTCCCTTTGCTGCATCTGGCTGGGTCAGTACAGGTCTAAAAACCTCTTTGGGTTCCTATCTGGCTTGTTGAACCAAACCCATTCTGAGGTGACCTTTTACTAGCAGATAAAAAGCAGATGGCCTCCACCTGGTTTCCCTCAGCTTGTGGCATCAAACAGTGTGACACTTCCTAAGAAGGGAGGGAGGGGGACAGGGACAGGACCAGGAATCTTGCTCAGCAGGCTTTCCTGCCTTATTAGAGGATAGCCCAGTTCCTTTTCCCCACACTGTGTGACAGAGCAAAAGATAGGTTTGGGATGGAGGAGCTCTGTGGAAGGAAAGTGTTTCACTGCTGCTTGGCATCCCATTGGTATTATTTAAGTTTAAGAAACTCAAGGGTGAGGGTGCACTACAGGTGGGGTCAGTAGCGTTATCCTCAGCCTGTTGGCTGCTCACAGACCTCATTTCTCACAGTGTTACCGTGACTTGGCTCTGGTGAGTCGTGATGGCATGAATATTGTCCTGAATAAAATCAACCAGATACTTATGGAGAAGTACCTGAAGTTGCAGGATACCTGCCGTACTCAGGTAAGGCCAGAAAGAAAAGAGAGGAATGATGCAGACCTTCTTGGAATGTTTACCTTTGGGGGGAGTTGAGGGAGGATGAGCTCAGCAGCATGGGGCCAGACAACTACCCAGGCCTGGCAGGTACCCCTTTTCTCCCTTCCAGGCCTCCCTTTCTTCTCTCTTACAGGGAAGGAAAGGAGGAATCGGGGCTAACACACTCCTACCCATGTACACCTGAGTTATAATGTGATTGAGTTAGCTCCTTTCTCAAACTCACAGGCCCTGCTCTTCATCTGTTTTTTCCTCTTTCCTTTAGTTGGTGTGGTTGGTTCGGGAACTAGTGAAGAGTGGGGTTCTGGGAGCCGATGGTGTGTGCATGACGTTTATGAAGCAAATAGCAGGTGAGTTTGATGGCAGGAGCATAAGGAAAAAAGGAGGGGAGCCCAGAGACTGACTATAGTCAATGGAGAATGTGCCTAAGGGCCTCAATCCCTGAGTTGCTTAGACTGTATTCTTCTGATACAGACATCTTCTGGCCACCTATGTTACAGAAAGAAATTGATTGAAAAACATAGGAGGTCTTTTGAAGCAATAAGTTTTGCCTCATTTTCTTCCTTGCCAAACCTAGAGCCTGACAGAATATTTGGCCTAATTTAGCCAGTCTTCACTTTGAGGCTTCACAGATATCAGATTAGGAAGGAATGAGGTGAGAAGTGAGAGCAAATAATTTGTTCCCATGTCATTATTCTTTATGAAACCTAGACGTCTTCCCTGGCTCCATCCCCATGTTCTGAACACTTGCTCACTAATAATAACATAACATCTAATTGGAGCCAGTCTGAGGGACAAACTATGTCACAGAACAGACCCTGACATTTAGGTTGTATTATCATCTTGGCATCAGTGACATCTGAGCCAATGAATATCCAAGAGGCTACTCCCAAGATTGCATGTGTTTGTTTAAAAATGACCCTGCCACTTTACCTCACCATTTGCCCATTGGGGCCTTGCTTCCTCTTTAGGATTTTATGTAACACTCATGCCCCTGTTTTGGTGTGTATGAACCTTAATCTGTGTGATGTGTGACTATGTGAACATTGAATTTTTTAATTGGAACCTGAGGCAAGACATAGCATTGTGCTGGCTATTTTTATCCCCTCTCTTGGCACTTTCTTCACTGTTTGGCACTTCCAGCCCCCATTTCTTATCCCAAGAGTTTGGTCTGGCATTGTTGTGTGTTAATTCTGCCTTAGGACGTTCCATAGCAAGCACTGAAGACTATTAACTGGAAACAAGAAACTCTTGGCCAGTTGTGAGCCTGAGCATGGGACTTAGGATGTCCAGATGCTGGACTGTATCTGTTGCCAGCCACCTGTACCTCTCAGGCCCTCTCTGAGATACCATTCTTTCTTTCTAACTGTGGGTTTCTCATGCAGTCCTTTTCAAGGGCCAGAGTGTTCCCACTCCAGCTCCCAATCTATGGAAAAGTAGCAGCTCTGGTTTCTGGAAAAATCCAGAACCTTCCCTTCTCTTTTCTCTGGAGGCAAAGGGGGAAACTTTAAAGCCTGGCAGAATAGAATGATATTTATTCCAGCATTTAGGACAACAGTGGTGGAATAACAGTTAGGGTGGACCAGCAGGATGGATGAAGAGATGTATTGGATTAGCTGAGTTGCTAATCAAAGCTACTCTGACTTTCTTTTTCCCCCTTTGAAATCAGGTGGAGATGTTACAGCCAAAAATATCTGGTTGGCAGAAAGTGTTCTGGATATCCTGACGGAGCAGAGGTAGAGTCCACCATGAAGGCTGGGGCAAGAGCCAGATAATGGCCATCAGGGGTTTGAGTGTGGGAAATTGGGATGGAGGGATTGTGTGGCCCAAGAACACCTTCAGTTAGAGAGGGGAAGGAAAGGGGAGGGAGAGACAAGTGTTTTGGTGGCAAGTGAAATAATTAATGCCATGGTGTGGCCCCATGGATGGAGGAATGGGAAAGAAGTCTTTGCTAAAATATCTCAGAGCCGCAGCAAAAACTGGTTTCATCTGATAAGAGTTTATTTTTGATGCAGACCTCCTTGGAATGTTTATCTTTGGGGGGAGTTGAGGGTGAATGAGCTCAGCAGCATGGGGCTAGCCAACTACCCAGGCCTGGCAGGTACCCCTTTTCTCCCTTCCAAGCCTCTCCATACAACCCATGCTGTTTTTGAAGTGGCATAGGGGGCAGTGGGTAGGAGGAGGTAATAGAGATCAGTGAATCCTGGTAGAGTTTGCACATAGAGCTTAGAGGCTCTGGTGGTATAGAGCCCATAAGCGGGACATATTGGGCTTTCTGGCTGATTCTTTTCCTCCCTCATCAAAATAAATGACAAGGATTTTTTTTTTTTTTCTTAATCTGTGATCCTTCTTTGCTCAACTAGAAATTTTAATGAGGATTGTTTCCTATCTGAACTTGTTTGGGGGTGAGGCATTTCCCTTGGCCTCAGTCTTCCTCTTGCTTGATTTCAGAGTCTCTTTCTGGGTTTGGACACTATAGAAGTCAACCAATTGAGAAGGCTAATAGTAGCCCTACTACTATATGCAGTTTAGAATGGATCTCCCATTATTCACTCTGGCTGTGTCCTGTGCTCTGCCCAAGCCTAAAGCCCTGCCAGGTCTGCTGTGCAGTGCCACCTAGTGGCATGCTCTGGTCATGGATGTGCAGCTACATGTGGGCCTGGAGCACTTGTTATTCTTATGGTTGCACTAGCACCTGCAATCCTAGCAGTCTTTTAACCAGTCTCTTCTCTCAGATCTCTGTGCCTTTTTAGTGTCCTGAGTCAGAGGGTCTCACTTTCATCTTTCTCTATCTCTTTATTACACCATTCTAGGATTCAGATGTATTCATTACTTCTGTTAGCAATCTTCCTAAAAAGCGATATTTCTTATTTTGTTCCTAGTACCAGATATCTCCTGTCCCCATACCTTAAAGCTGAGTTTCATGTCAAATAACAGTTAGATAACTGCCCCGCCTTTTCCCTACCCTCCAAACACCGAAACTCTTTTGGTGAAAGTGCCTAGAAGTTGAAAACTGTGTCTTCTTCTACAACCTCCTTCTCACTCCTTTCCAAGTGTTTCTAGGGCTGTGGAGTTAAAAGGTAGCAGGTGGGGGCAGGGAACCCTCCCCAGTGACCTTGGCTAGTGCTTTTATTTTGTGAAAGGAAAAGGCCAGAGTCTTTTAATTAGGTGGCCTGAGCACTTTTCCGGAATCAGGATGTTGCCTGATTGGATTAACTAAACTTCATGTTTTCTTACTCCACTTCCCTGCCCACCAGCAAGAGTGCCAAAGGCATTACAAACTATTTGCTTGGGGAGACAGCTTCCCAATTTTGGCACTTAGAGCATTAGAGTTTTGGGAATTTCCTTACTGTATCCTTGTCTCTACCCCTGTTAAAGCAGCAGGGAACAAATAATTCTTTCATTATACCCTTTTTCCCCAGGGAAATTATAAAACTCCTGGGAAGATGGGTTTTGCCATCCAGAATGGGGTTCTTTTCTTCAGATTGTGATTTAGGGCTGGTGACTTACTGGTGACTAGAGAGAGAGCCAGGGAAAAGTTTATGTCATGGTGGGCTGCTAATGACAAACAGATAACAGGACCAGTACAATATGTTCTAAAAACTTCAGGGTCCTGAAAGGGTCTTGGAAATCCCCAGAGGATTTTGCACCACATTCAAGAACTGTTACCGTAGGGACACTTAACGAAACTCGTCCCCTATAGTCTGAGCTGAGTAGAAGCTGTAGCTTACCTGTGTCTCACACATTTCTTGGCACATGACAGACACTCAGTAAATATTTGAATGAAGGAGTCACAAACAAAGTTATTTTATTCAAAACTAAGTAGTTATGTGATAAGTGGAAATTGCTTTCATTCAGCACTATCTTTATTGGGCACCTGGTAGAGAAAATTAGGAAGTTGTCCTTGCCTTAGCAGATTGATAGTCCAAGATTGATAATAGCAACATGAGTGAGCGAGCAAAAAACCAAAGGACCTACTCCCTGTGTCTAATGATCAAACATGTCTGAGGCACTGGAGCCACACCTGGGGCAGGGGTGAATTGCAGAGTGAGTGGGTCTAGATGGGGCGAGATGCCAGTGTCTTCCCTCCCTTTAGGGAGTGGGTACTGAAGAGCAGCATCCTCATCGCCATGGCTGTTTACACATACCTCCGCCTCATCGTCGACCACCACGGGACCGCCCAGCTTCAGGCTCTGCGGCAGAAGGAAGTGGACTTCTGCATCTCACTGCTTCGGGAGCGGGTGAGGGTGTTGGACAAAACAGCATGGGGAAGTGAGACTCAAGATGGGATTACCTCTATAGGTTTTTCTTCTTTTTTTGCTTTTTTCCCTAGTCTCAGCCAAGCATGCACCTTTAGGTTTTGTGCAGCTGGGTCAGGAATGCCTTGTTAGAGATGGAAGTACTCCAAGATCTAGTGTTTTTCATTGTTAGGCAGGTGAGGGTAGGGCTGGGGAATCAGTATGGAACAGCCCTAGTTCCTAGAAATGCTACCCGTTATGCTGGCATCCCAGGGATTTTCCTGGTCAGCTTCATGAACACTATTGTACAACAGGCAGTAGCTGTCCTTTTGGGCTCATCATTACATTATCCCCCCACCTACCCTCCTGGGTAATTCCCATATTCAAGTGGGATTTTGAATTGTCCACTATCAGATCTCCTAAGAAAGATATCTTAGAGCTGTGTTAACATGGTAACCACTGGCCACATGTGGTGATTTAAATTAAAATTAATGTTATATAAAACTTTAAAATTCAGTTTCTTAGTTGCATTAGCCACATATTGCTAATGGGTTTTGTCTGAACTGCACAGGTATAGACATTTCTGTTACCACAGAATTGGACCCACTCTATGGACTCTATTGAACTCTATTGGACAGGATGAACTTTGGAATAGTCTGGGGCTCAATTTGCCCGTCCCCTTCTATTGGAATCTTAGTCTCCCATGAACTGGATCGAAACAGTTCTGGGTAAGGGGAGTAGGTTAATGTGAAAGCCAGCAGGGCTTCAGCACTTCCCATTAACCTCTCATTCTTGTTATCAGTCTCCAGCTTCCAGTTCTTTTCCCCTAAATAGCTAGGAGCCAATCCTTTGGTTCCAGAAGAAATCATACAGTCCCTTCAACCCTCTTTCCTTCCCTCCTGAGAACATGTTGTTCCTTTATCCTCCCTCCAGCAGGTAAACAATCCATGTTTTTATTTTCTGTCCTGTTCCTTCTCCTTCTCCTCCCCATCAAGTTCATGGAATGTTTGATGATTGGTCGAGACCTTGTAAGACTACTCCAGAATGTTGCTAGGATACCAGAATTTGAACTGCTTTGGAAAGATATTATCCATAACCCTCAGGCTTTGAGTCCTCAGTTCACAGGTAAGTAAGGGCCTGGTCATCATAGCCTTGAGAGGTGGGAGGTCAATGTATATGTCCTGCCTGAATCAAGAAGGTAGAGGTTGAGCTGTACCCAGTGGCTCATACCTGTAATTCCAGTGACTTAAAAGGGTGAGGCAGGAGGATCACTTGAGCCCAGGTGTTCGAGACCAGACTGGACTACATAGCAAGATCCTGTGTCTTAGAAAAAATAGGTAGAGTTTGGTAGGTAGGAGTTTGGTTATCATATAGAAAGCTTGGGACAGGGTAGGCTTTGCCAAGTACAGCTGGATGGGGGCAGAGGTGCAGAACAATTCATGTGGTTCTTAGACATCCCCTATTTGGCAGATTCCAGTTGTCATTACTACCAAGAAAAAAGTAAGACAGAGCACTGTGATCCTCCTCCTCCCCTCCGGCAGCTCCTTGGCTCAGGAGGTGAGCCAATGACCAGCTTCTAACTTTGCTGAGTCCAGCAGGGGAGTCAGAGGTCAACTCGTGAGACTGAGTCAGCAGAGGGGCTGGAAATAATCTTATAAGAGAAGACTCCTCCCTGGGAGAAGTCCTGCTTCTAATTCCAAGGATCCAGCTTGGCCAAAATCTTTGGGGGAGAGAAAGAGTCTCTGTGTACCTAACTTTGACAAGGTCCTTTTCATAAGCCCTTCCTTTCCCAGGGTCCTGATGTGGTCTGAACAATAACTGTACAGCTTTGCTCCCCACCCCATCTCCAGCACACACTTGCATGTGTGTGCATGCACATATACAAACTAAAAGCAATTGTCCAGGACCTGGGAAGTCAGGAAAGAAGAGAGGAAAGTGCTGGGCCTACCTTATATTGAACATGTATTAAGTTGCTTTGAGTACCTCCTCTGTGTTAGGCACACATATGTTAACTCATTTAGTCTTCAGGATAGCCCAGTAAGATGAGTATTTTACTTTCCATGTTTATAAACTGAGGGTTAAAGAGATTAAGTAATTTGCCCAAGGCTACACAGCTAGTAAATGACAAAGGCACAATTTGAATCCAGGTTTTTCTGACTCCAGAGCTTGTGCTCATACCAGAATACCACATTGATCCTGATCTTTTGATGGGACCATCAGGAGCAGGCAGAGAGGCTACAGTTTCCCATGTTATTCCCTTAACTTTGCAACCTATTGCCAACTGGAATCATGTGGGTAGGGGGCTCTGGAAGGCCAACAGAAGAAGGGAATTAATGTAGGTGGGGCCTAGGGATGGTGGATGGTTGGAGCAGAACACACAGATGCTGGTTAGAATCCCCACTTGCACCTATGCTTGATTTCCCTTGGTCTTGTCTTATTAATAGAATTTACCCATGATCAAGATCATGGGCCATCAGTACCTGGCCAAGTTTCACCACCTGTCTTCCATTCCTTCTGGTTCTCAGGCTTCTTTCTTTTCTCTTCCCTTCCACATTTGGTTCAGGTATCCTGCAGCTTCTTCAGTCAAGAACGTCCCGAAAATTCCTAGCATGTCGTCTAACCCCAGACATGGAGACTAAGCTCCTCTTCATGACATCCCGGGTAAGCTGACCCATTGCAGCAGGAAGAGGAGATGCAGGTGCTAGCTGGGCTTCTTGCTTGAGTCTGTAGATCTGTTACCATTGTGCACCACTCTATAGTGGAGTGGTGGCTAAGTGGGTGCCCCTGATCTGTCTGGGTGCTGGCTGCTTTCCTTTGTTCATTCTGTGCCTACACACTGGGCATGGTGCTAAGAATTGGGAGTACAGTGTTGAACAAGAGAGATACAATTCCAGCTCTTATGACACTTTTAATCTGTCTAAAACAGTAATTAAACCAGTACTTATATACAAATATCATTTAGAAGTGTGAAATGTGCTATAAAAGGGTAGAGTGTTCATTGTAGGAAAATCCACAGTTGCTCCAGGAAAACCATGAGCTCTCAGGAAGAGGCTATGGCCTTTTGGTTTCCAAACATGGCTGAATTAGGACAGAATTATCTGAGAAACATGTTAAAAGTGCAGTTTCCTGAGTCCCACTCTTTCAGAGAATCTGATTGAGGAGTCTGTGTTTTTGTTGTTGTTGTTGTTGTTGTTGTTGTTGAGATAGGGTCTCACTCTGTAGCCTGAGCTAGAGTGCCGTGGCGTCAGCCTAGCTCACAGCAACCTCAAACTCCTGGCTCAAGCAATCCTTCTGCCTCAGCCTCCCAGGTAGCTGGGACTACAGGCATGCGCTACCATGCCCAGCTAATTTTTTTAATATATTTTTAGTTGTCCAGCTAATTTCTTTCTATTTTTTTTAGTAGAGATGGGGTCTCGCTCTTGGTCAGGCTGGTTTCGAACTCCTAAGCTCAAATGATCCACCTGCATTGGCCTCCCAGAGTGCTAGGATTACAGGCATGAGCCACAGCGCCCAGCCAGGAATCTGTGTTTTTAGCAAACTTCCCAGGCAATTCCTTACAATCAGTCTGGCTTTAGGAAACTGCTGCCCTAGCCAGCTTTCAGTTTCCCAAGTCATGCAGAACTGTCTAGATCTGTGCTGTCCCATTTGGTAGCCATGTGTTGCAATTTAAATTTAAGTTAGTAAAATAAAATTAAAAATTCAGTATCTCAGTCACAATAGCTGCATTTCAAGTGCTCAATAGCCACCATCATTGCAAAAATGTTCTGTTTGACAGTATTGGTATAGAGGTATCTTTTTGTTTATTTTGTTACCCTTTTGCTCTATTTTGGTTGATTTCTTCTGACAGATGGGGGATAGAAGAGGAAGACTAGATCTTTTTCCTTATTTGGTATTACTGTTTGTAACCATTTAGGGTCTGTTTGGGGGAAGAACTAGCTGCAAGAGGGTTTGTTGAGTCTATGCCTTGGATAATGGTTCTGTTAGGTTGCTCAGCAGCAGGAATCTCTCAGTGCTGAGTGGTGAACAGGCTCAGCTCTCATCCTTGAGGAACATTCCTTGCTGTTCACCAGTGGCTCAAGAAAATGAGAAAAGATTATGCTTATGACTGGAGAATCAGTACCAGGAGTAAGGAGCCAAAAGTGGATGACAATTGCAGTTGGGGGTAAATAAAGTATCAGCTTAGTGGCAGAAATGAATGTGCCACTGGCATGTGCAAGGCAAACTAGAAACTGTCAGGATGCTCTTAAATTAGGAAGTCCTCCCAAAAGAGGGGAAACTAGAGAGACAGTATGAGCTAATGAATATGCTTTGGGAAGAAATGGAGGTCTAAGTCAATGCTAGAGTTGAATGTTGCTTGTTATCCTCTGTTCAGGGACCCCACCCTTCCTTCTAAGTTTCTTTTTCCAACTTCTCCTAGGTACGGTTTGGTCAACAAAAGCGATATCAGGATTGGTTCCAGCGCCAGTACCTGTCAACTCCAGATAGTCAGTCTCTGCGCTGTGACCTCATTCGCTACATCTGTGGGGTAGTCCACCCTTCTAATGAAGTACTGAGTTCAGATATCTTGCCTCGGTGGGCCATCATTGGTTGGCTCCTGACAACATGCACGGTGAGGGGCTGGGCCACGGGGCAGAGGATATTAGGTGGTGAAGGGTGCCACTTCCTTCGTGTTCCCCATATTTCCATGCTTCTTCCTCACTACAGGCCTATCTCACCCCTAAAGGCCCCTTTTTCACTGTGGTTCTCTTGAATGCATTGGCCTTTGGCCCCACTTCCCTTTGAGTCTCTAGAAATTTACTTATACTCATTATTTCCCACCTGGGTTTGGGGTTGAACAGGTTCTATTGCCAACCTCCAAAGCTTGGATTTCTGAGGGATTCCTGCCTTTTTCGTTTTAGCTTCCAGGAACTACATAATGGCTATTCCTCTGAATTGTTCCTTTCTTAATTCAGAGCTTGCAGTCTTTAGGCCCTCACCTCCATGCCTTTTGGCATCAGCTTGGATACTTCCCTTCTCTGTAGTAAATCTGCAGTGGAGCCATTTCCTTCCCAGCATTTCCCTCCCTGTGCCTGGGGTGGGAAACTGTCCATTCTCTGGCATCTGGCTGCCCCCTGACCTCTTCTGACAGGGTTACTCCTCCCCCATCTGACTAGGTCTTTGGAATGTGCTGATTCAGATATGACAACAGCCTGTTCCTAAGGGGTCTCTTCTTCAGGAATGTGCTGGGGGAGCCCAGCAAGGGCAGCCCAGGGGGGTGGTCTGAGTGTTGCCTCAGCTCAGGGGTGATCGGTGGACTCTCAGCATAAGGGTTCTCTTTTATGGGGCTCAGAGATGTGTACTCCTGAATATATGAAGAACCCAGGCCAGTCCCCATCCTCTCGGTTGGTAAGGCTGCTTACTTACACTCAGATGTAACACAGACCCAGGTGTCCCTCACCCCGTGGGCGTTCCACCCTGTTTCATTAGGAACTGACTTTCATAGATGGGGCAGCTAAATGGGCCCTGGAATCTGCCTTGGGCCTTGGAAGGGAGCTGGTTGATGAAACTAGCCCTCTTTTTCTTTCTCCTCTCTTTTCCAGTCAAATGTTGCTGCCTCTAATGCCAAGCTGGCTTTGTTTTACGACTGGCTGTTCTTTAGTCCAGACAAGGATAGCATTATGAACATAGGTATGTGACTGAGACCAGGCAGTGCCACTTCCCCATCCCCCAAGTCCCCACTGCCTTGTCTTAGTGATAGCAGTCATAAATCTCAGGGCAGCGTGGAGTGGAGGCAGCTTATCTGGGAGCATTTCCGTTGTTCTTCATCAGTTCTCCCTTGACCTAGAAGAATTGCTTTGATGAGGCTGAGCAGTCACTTCGCCCCTCTCACCACAGCCTTAGGCTTGAGCTGTGGGATGTCCTAGGCAGAGGAAAGGCTATACCATGTCCTGCTTTTCCTCTCCTACTACCTCCCTTCTCCACACCAAGTACTAGGGGCAAGAAGGGAGGTAAGGGGTAAGAGCTGTTTGCAGGGCTGTCTGCTTTTGGGTGTGCTCAGTGGGAATGGGAGGAATAGACACAGCATCCCCAGAGCTGTTCATGTATATTAGCATCCGATCTTATGTAGTTGGAAACAGACTCTCTGATGTGGGGGGCCCTTTAATTCCACCTTGTCCAGAACCGGCTATCCTGGTCATGCATCACTCCATGAAGCCTCACCCAGCCATCACTGCCACACTCCTGGACTTCATGTGCCGCGTAAGTGCCCCAGCTCTCTTTTCTCCCCATGCCCGGACGAGCAGAATTAAGTGTATCCCCCTCATCTCCCAGTGAATGAGTCTTCTCAGCGCCCTTGACTGTGGGAGCAGAAGTGGCCATGGGTCCTGTCCCCTCAGTGAATGCTTCCCTTCCATATTCCCACTGTCTCCAGTGGGTCTTCCCATGTTTCCATGGGGTTTCTCAACTACAGGGACTATGACTCCTGGTAGAATCTCGTCTCCTTGAGGAGCAGCCAGGTCCAGTAAGAGTCTCCCATATTAGTAGCCCGGAATGGTCAGAAACACCATCCTCTCTGCAGCCTTACTCCCCAGTGTCCCCTGATCAAACCAAAGCAGCTTTTTAGATCTGGTTCAGCAGAACACTGGATAAAGCGTCCTGTGCTCATTTTCTCCTCCCATTCTTCCCTTCCAGATTATTCCCAACTTCTATCCACCACTGGAGGGCCACGTGCGGCAAGGTGTCTTTTCCTCCCTCAACCACATTGTGGAGAAACGGGTCTTGGCGTAAGAAGTTTGGGGGTGGGGTGGGGAGGTTGTTTTCCCATTTTTCATGAGGTCCAGTCACCTGTAGGTCAGGTGCATCCAGATACTGCCATACCACTGCTGGCCTTTTTCCTTGACATGTGTAAAAAGTACCAATTCTGCCTCAGGCTGCTGGGTATATGTCCTCCTGACTTAGAGGAATTTCTTTCGTGCCACCTTATTTACCAAGGGCTTCAAATGCCTTCATGCTCCATGTTGACTCCTTCCGATAATCTGAGTATGGCCTAGTTATACAGATTGGGTTTAGACCTATCTCCTTAACTCCACGATGAGCTAGAAGTGAGGGGCTCTGATGCTGACCTTCATTTGTGTTCCCCATTAGACACCTGGCTCCCCTGTTTGACAATCCTAAATTGGATAAGGAGCTGCGGGCAATGCTGAGAGAGAAGTTTCCTGAATTCTGCAGCTCACCATCCCCACCTGTGGAAGGTATGGAGCCCTCCCCTTCCATCACCTGTGTCAAAGCAGGGACACGCCATCCAAGGCTCTCAGACCAGAGTCCTGTTTAGGATGTTGTCCCTGTGCAGTTTTCCACCTCTGTGACACTGCCCATCACAGCCTTTCCTTCCCTAATTTTTCTGCTTATTCATTTTTGTGTTGTCTCTCTTGGTTCTCTCTCTTCATCTAATCTTATCTGACTTTTGCTCATCTTTCTTGCTCTCTTAACTTTAATTTTTTTCTCTTATTAACCCCTTCTCAGGAGATAAAAGCCTTTCTTGTAATGTTTGTTTATCTCACTTTAACTTTGCCCGTCTCTTTTCTCTGTCGAACTCTTGGCCCTGGCCCCTGATGAGAGGTTGTCATGTTAGGTCTCAAATCTTGCTTCTAATTCCAGACTGCCATCTCCCCACCACACGTTTTTGTTTTGGGATAAGGCCTTAAGCCAAGCAGTACATCTCAACTTGTTTTTATTTACTTATTTTTTTATGGAACTTCATTTGTCAATAAAGGCCTTTAGCTAAGTGGTACATCCCAACTTGGTTTAAAATTAAAGAATACTTGGGACTATCCCTGGTCTTACTCTAGTCACTAATTCTGAGGTGAGCATACAGCAGTCATGTTCTGTGCTGTTCTTATTCCTGGCAGCATCCCCCTGTAGGTCATGGAGGGTTGTGAGGACAAGAGGTTTGTCCTTCTAGGGTCAGTAATCCACTTAGGTCATAAACTCCTTATTCTTCCACTTGCCCTCCAATCTCCCTTCCCAGAAGCATGGGACATGCTAGAGGACACGGGAGGCCATCAAATGCCTTTTCTTTCTTTACTCCCAAGTTAAAATTGAGGAGCCAGTTTCCATGGAGATGGACAACCATATGTCGGATAAGGATGAGAGTTGCTACGACAACGCGGAGGCAGCCTTCAGTGACGACGAGGAGGATCTCAATAGCAAAGGTGAGGCTACCAACAATGGCTCATTCAGGCTTGTGTCAACCCAGAGAGACCAATTTGTAGGAGCAGCCTCTCTACAACCTTCCTATCACCTTTGCCCTGTGAGTTAAAGTTTTGTTAATAGGTTTACTGGATGAGACTCTGAGTGCAGAGCCCTGTACTCAACACTGAGGGCAGGAAGGAAAAAGAAGTGGTTCCTGCACGTTTTTGCTTGTAAGAGCTAGGACGTGTGCACACTCAGGGAGATGCTTTAGGCACTCACACAACATTGAGTACACAGGTGCACACTTAGGGCATGTGAGGAAGGGACAGATGGTTTAGGGGACTGTCTGTGTTGCTAGCATCTGGGCAAACTGACTTCTCTCCCAAATGACTACCTCAGGAAAGAAGAGAGAGTTTCGCTTCCACCCTATCAAGGAGACAGTCGTGGAGGAGCCTGTTGATATCACCCCTTACCTTGACCAGTTGGATGAGTCCCTAAGGGACAAAGTACTCCAGCTACAGAAGGGGAGGTAGGTGCAGACCTCACTCTCCACCTAAGGAGGTCCAGCCCCAGGTTGTCTACCTGGTGCTTGGTAGGTGTGGCAGGATGGTGGAGGCTGGAGGAAAATATGATGGGAGTGTGTAGAGAGGTAGTTGAAGCTTTCTGAGGTTATTTTTCTGCAGTTTGCCTTCAAGGGTATGGGCCGGGGGTGGGGTAGCCTCGCTCCCTAACACCTCGGGTTCCCACTCCATAGATTCTGGGGAGAAGAGCCTCTGAGAACCAAAGCAGGGTTGCTGGGGATTTCCCCTTTCTTTGGGCCTCTGCCCAAGAGCAGCAAATTCTGCCCTACAGCCTCCCCCAACCCCCAAGCTGGGATTTTACACAGAGCTCTTTGTTTTGTCTTTGTGCATGTTGTGCATGTGAGTGTGTTTGTGCGCACTGTTCTGGGTGTGTGTCCTGCCCTCTGCTATCATTTATGTCCCTGGGATTTCCTCTCACTTCTGTCCTGCAGTGATACGGAGGCCCAGTGTGAGGTCATGCAGGAAATTGTGGACCAGGTCCTGGAGGTGAGGAGGAACCCAGCCCCTTAGGGAGGAAGCAGCCCAGCCTGCTCAGCATAGAGCTCCCCATGCAGACATCTCCTTGGGACACTGACTCTGTCCTTCTCCCTCCCCACATGGGTTCCCTCTGATGGGGGTGGGGAGCTTGCTGATCCTAGAGGTGGAAATGTGAATTCCAAGGCTGTGGGATAGTGGGAGCAGGAAGGCTTGGGTCTAGGTAGTGATATTCCTTCCCTTGTCTCACCACCCAGGAAGACTTTGACTCGGAGCAGCTGTCTGTCCTTGCTTCCTGCCTGCAGGAGCTCTTCAAGGCCCACTTTCGAGGGGAAGTGCTGCCTGAGGAGATTACCGAGGAGTAAGGCTCATCTTCCCTAACCCCCCTAACTCAGGAGCCAGAGTGTTCTCTTTTAGTCCGGATCCAAGATGCTCTTTGCCATGAACTTAAGAAAAATAACCTATTCACTTAGTGTTTTTATTCTTGTATGTACTGCTTCATTTAAACAAGGGTTTATTTTTGCCTACTCAACACCATGTATACTAAGAGGTACACACTCCCTTTGCTTCAACCCCTACTGCTGGGCCCAGTAGCCCCAACCTTTGCTGAATCATGTGGGATTGGACCCTGGACTGGACTCTCTTCCTGAAGGGCAAGAGTCTCACCTTCAATGAGGATGACAACCTCAAATTGTGATTCCATGTTAGGAACCTGTTTTCTCTGTTACTAAGCCTCTGGAGCAGCAGAAAGTTTGCCTTTGGGGTAGGAAAGGAGCAGGCTGGCATCTGGTCTTAAGCTGGTCCTCTATAATATCTGCCTGCAGCCCACCTCCTCTCCCCTCATGTGGACTCTCATATGTAACCTTCCTCTTGTAGGTCCCTGGAGGAGTCTGTAGGAAAGCCTCTCTACCTAATATTTAGGTAAGCACCCAACTGTAGGAGATGTCACACTGTCCTCTGTCTTCCCTGACAGCACACTGTGCACTCATCCTGGGGTAGAGGGGCCCCTTTCCAGGAATGAGGTATACAGTGGGCACAGAGCCCATGCCACCCCAGAAGCTCCATAGGAGAGTCTGCCATAGGTAAAGCTCTGCTCCTCTCCTCTCCCCCTTGTCCTCCAGGAACCTATGCCAGATGCAGGAAGACAACAGCAGCTTCTCTCTGCTTCTGGACCTTCTCTCTGAGCTATATCAGAAGCAGCCCAAGATTGGCTACCACCTGCTCTACTACCTGAGGGCCAGGTGGGTATATCCCCACAGTTCCTGTCTCCTCCTACACACTGACTTTCCCACCCTTGGCTGTCATTACCAGGGCCTTCCATGTATTTGCTGGTTTTTGTTGTTTTTTTTTTTAATAATAGCTATATATAAAATTCACCCTTTTAAAGTACACAATTCAGTAGTACATTCACAAAGTTGTACAACTATCACTAATGTTTAACTGATGGGATCTATCTAACTTACATCACCCTAAAAAGAAACCCCATACCCATTAGCAGTCCCGTTCCCATTCTTCCCTTGACCTAGCAACCACTGATCTGCCCTCTGTCTCTGTAGATTTACTTATTCTGGACATTTCAGATAAATGGATCAAACAATGTGTGATCTTTTGTGACTCACTTTTTTCACCTAACATAATGTTTTTTGTTTGTTTGTTTGAGACAGAGTCTCACTCTGTTGGGCCGGGCTAGAGTGCTGTGGCGTCAGCCTAGCTCACAGCAACCTCAAACTCCTGGGCTCAAGCAATCCTCCTGCCTCAGCCTCCCGAATAGCTGGTACTACAGGCATGCACCACAATGCCCACCGAATTTTTTTCATATATATATATATATATATATATTTTTTTTTTTAGTTGTATAGTTAATTTCTTTCTATTTTTTTAGTAGAGACGGGATCTCACTCTTGCTCAGGCTGGTCTTGAACTCCTGAGCTCAAAGGGTCCTCCTGCCTCGGCTTCCTAGAGTGCTAGGATTACAGGCTTGAGCCACCATGCCCAGCCTCTTCATTCCTTTTTATGGCCAAGTACTATTCCACTGTATGGATACACCACATTTTGTTTATCTATTTGTCTGTTGGTGGACATTTGGGTTGTTTCCACTTTTTTGCTATCGCAGGTGGAGACGCTGTGAACATTCATGTACAAGTTTTTGTGTGGATATATGTTTTCAGTTGTCTTGGGTAAATACCTAGGAGTGGAATTGCTGGATCATGCAGAAAAATCTGTTTTTACACTGGCAGGGAACTGCAAAACTGTTTTCCAGTGTGGCTGCAGCTACTTTTACATCCCCGCCAGCCACATGTGAGAGTTCTGATTACTCCACATGCTCCCCAGCACTTGTTATTACCTGGCTTTTTCTCCTGTAGTCTCTGTGCTTTTTTTTTTTTTTTTTTAATTGTCTGACTTTTTGACTCCAACTATCCTAGTGGATGTGAAATGGAATCTCATTGTGGTTTTAGTTTGTATTTCCCTGATGGCTAATGATGTTGAGCATTTTTTCATGCATTTATTGGCCATTTGTATATTCCCTTTGGAGAAATGTCTATTCAAATCCTTTCCCATTTTTAATTTGGTTATTTGTCTTTTTATTGTTGACTATTGTTTTTTTTTTTAAGACAGAGTCTCCCCTTGTTGCCCAGGATAGAGTGAGTGCTGTGGCGTCAGCCTAGCTCACAGCAACCTCAAACTCCTGGGCTCAAGCAATCCTCCTGCCTCAGCCTCCCGAGTAGCTGGGACTACAGGCATGTGCCACCATGCCTGGCTAATTTTTTTTTTCTATATATATTAGTTGGCCAATTAATTTCTTTCTATTTATAGTAGAGACGGGGTCTCGCTCTTGCTCAGGCTGGTTTCGAACTCCTGACCTCGAGCAATCCTCCTGCTTCGGCCTCCCAGAGTGCTAGGATTACAGGCGTGAGCCACCACGCCTGGCCTATAAGAGTTATTTATATATTCTGGATACAAGTCCTTTATCAGATACATGATTTGCAAATATTTTCCCCCATTCTGTGGATTGTCTTCATTTTTTTGTTGTTTTTTGTTTTTTCCAACACCAGGACAAGGGCATATCTTTACTTTTTTGATGGCATCCTTTGGATCACAAGAGTGTTAAGTTTTTATGAAGTCAAATTTATGTTTTTTTTCTTTTGTCACATGTGCTTTCGATGTCATGAAGGTTTATTCCTATGTTTTCTCTAAGAGAACGTAGTTTTAGTTCTGTGGCTTTGGTTCTTACTTTTAGGCCTATAAACCATTTTGAGTTTTTTGTATGGTGTGAGGTGTTATTGCCCTCATGGTTAGAGCCCAGAAAGCAAGAGAGAAAGCCTGACCTGAGCCCACTTTTCTTGGCGCTCATCAGTCAGTAGCTTCACTCATTGTGGTCAGAGCCCTATCTGGAGCACTGGGGAAGCATGGGGAGAAAGAGAAGTGTCTCAGGCCGGGCGCGATGGCTCAAGCCTGTAATCCTAGCACACTGGGAGGCCGAGGCGGGAGGATTGCTTGAGCCTAAGAGTTTGAGACCAGCCTGAGCAAGAGCAAGACCCTGTCTCTACAAAAAATAGAAAAATTAGCTAGGCGTTATGGCACGTGCCTGTAGTCCCATCTACTCAGGAGGCTAGGGTAGGAGTATTGCTTGAGCCCAAGAATTTGAGGTTGCATTAAGCTACAGTGATGTCACTACACTCTACGTGGGGTGACAGAATGAGACTTTGTCTCAAAAAAAAAAAAAGAAAAAATTGAGTGTCTCCTGGTTCCCATAAGTTGTCAAGCCCTTGGGGACGGTGACAGGGAGAAACATGAGACAGATGCACATCTAGAGTGGATAGGCAATTCCAGAGTGAGAGCCTACTTCAAGGGTGTTTGAAGGTGGGTGCTGGGATGAGGCTGCTGGCTTAGGCCTATCTGGTCTTGTGTGTAGCAAAGCTGCTGCGGGGAAGATGAACCTGTACGAGTCATTTGCCCAGGCCACTCAGCTGGGCGACCTGCACACATGCCTAATGATGGACATGAAGGCCTGCCAGGAGGACGACGTGCGGCTACTGTGCCACCTCACACCCTCCATCTACACAGAGGTTGGTGCCTCCATCCGTATCCGTTCTGGGGAGTGGGGGCAGCAGTGCAGGGGCTCACGGGAGACTGCCCACCTCAGTGTATACTCTGAGCATCATCTACAACCCTAGCCTTCCTTTGCCCACCCCTGCTAACTTTGGTAGACCATTGCTTCCTATACCATAACTGTCCCCTCCTTCTATCTCTCTTTATTCAAAGTTTAAAATTTTCTAAGACTCTCAGAATTATAATCCTTTGGTTTAACTGTGTTGTGAGTGGAGACCTGGGCCTATATACTTGGCTTCTCAAGTTGGGCCCCATCATCTGGACCCATGACCGGTCCTCTAAATCAGATCCTCGTTCATATATCCCAAGCCCTCTTGCTCTCTGATGGCTCGCCCTTGCAGTCTCTCTACTGGTTCCCAAAGGTAAGGGTTTCTGTCATGGAGACTGACTCTCATTCCCCTGGTTCACTTAAACTCTTCTCTAGGAACTGGGATGCAGGAGGTATCAGCTCTTACTCCTTTTGGTAGAATTTCTCAGAAGAAGGAAATGAGGACCCAGGGTGTGGGCACATTAGGAGGAACTGTGATCTCAGCCCAGCAGTGGAGGGAAGAGGGGTGCAGATGCCAGACACAAGGCACTTCCCTTTCCCTGCTCCCCGTCTCTAGATGTGGCCCTGCCTACCCGGCACAGCCCTCCCACCCCTAGACACTCTACACCTTCTCTTTTTTGGCTGAGGGTCAGCACAGGTTGGGTTTCTTGGCTGCCACTCCCACACAGAACCAGCCCTCATGTCCAGTCCTTTCAGCTCTGGCTTTATCTCTGTATGGCTCCCTGTTCCTTTCCTTACACACATAGTGTAAACACATAAATAACAACAGTTGGGGTCTTCAAGTTTTTCAAATCTTTCAGCTTCATAGCTGTTGGATCTCTGTTTAGGGGGTTATATTAGACCCTGTGTCTGGCTGACATACCCAGACCCTGAGCATGTGATAAGGAAGAAAAATGGGTTATGAGATGAAAGCTAAGCAGTCCACCCTGGAGTCTTCCTCTCTCTTTTTCTACCCAGTTTCCAGATGAAACCCTGAGGAGCGGAGAGCTGCTGAACATGATCGTGGCTGTTATCGACTCTGCACAGGTACACATGGAGCCTTTTTTTTTTTTTTTTGAGACAGAGTCTCACTTTGTTGCCCAGGCTAGAGTGAGTGCCGTGGCGTCAGCCCAGCTCACAGCAACCTCAAACTCCTGGGCTCAAGCAATCCTACTGCCTCAGCCTCCCAAGTAGCTGGGACTACAGGCATGCGCTACCATGCCCGGCTAATTTTTTCTCTCTATATTAGTTGGCCGATTAATTTCTTTCCATTTATAGTAGAGACGGGGTCTCGCTCTTGCTTAGGCTGGTTTGGAACTCCTGACCTCGAGCTATCCTCCCGCCTCGGCCTCCCAGAGTGCTAGGATTACAGGTGTGAGCTACTGCGCCCGGCCCACATGGAGCCTTGACATCCCCAGAGAGGCCCAGAAGGCAGGACTGGGGAAGTCAGGACCTCTGCTTTGTCTGCAGGCTTGCAGACAGGGAGCCCATGCTCCCAGGCACTCTGCTCCTGTTGTAGGTGTGTGCACCTTTGGCTGTAGCAACTGGGAAGGAAAGTGGGTCCCAAGGGTGGCAGGTGAACCCTATCTAGAGTTTCCCTTATTCTCCATATTCTTTGGGCATTCTTGTTTCCATAGGGAAAGCTGAGGGGATTGTTTATTTAGCTTTCAACTGTATGCCTTTCCCTTGGCTTAGAATGAAAATGGTCAGACCATTTCTACTTAACCTTTCTACCACGCATAGGTCCCCAAGAGGCTGTAGCTTTGCTTGGGTCCATCTCAGGCCTAAACAGAGGTCCTAGTTCTCTGTTCTCCTTTTCTCCACTCAGTTCCCATTCATAAAAGAGGAAGCCCAGGCCAGGTGTAGCGGCTTATGCCTGTAATTCTAGCACTTTGGGAGGCCAAGGTGAGAAGATCACTTGAGCCCAGGAGTTTGAGACTAGCCTGGGCAACATGGTAAGACCCCATGTCTATAAAAAATAAAAAAATTAGTTGGAGGCCGGGCGCTGTGGCTCACGCCTGTAATCCTAGCTCTTGGGAGGCCGAGGCGGGCGGATTGCTCAAGGTCAGGAGTTCAAACAGCTGAGCAATGAGCGAGACCCCGTCTCTACTATAAATAGAAGAAATTAATTGGCAACTGATATATATATATAAAAAATTACGGGCATGGTGGCGCATGCCTGTATCCCAGCTACCGGGAGGCTGAGGGCAGAGATCACTCGAGCCCAGGAGTTTGAGGTTGCTGTGAGCTAGGCTGACCCCGGCACTCACTCTAGCCTGGGCAACAAAGCGAGACTCTGTCTCAAAAAAAAAAAAAAAAAAAAAATTAGTTGGGTGTGGCAGCATGTGCCTATAGTCTCAGGTACCCAGGAGGCTGAGGCAGGAGGATCGCTTGAGCCTAGGAGTTTGAGGTTGCTATGAGCTAGGCTGACACTACTGTACTCTAGCCTAGACGACAAAGTGAGACCCTGTCTCAAAAAAAAAAAAAAAGACGAAGTCTAGCACTCAAGGGTCCTTCCTTTGCTTTCCCCCTGCCCATACCTGTGCTGAGAGCCCAGCCTCCCGGGATCCTTCCCTCCTCCTCAGGCCCAGACTAAAGCCAGGTAGAGAAGTTCCCTGTTTTCCCTCTGCTATCAGGATGTGGGGGATTGTTTTCCACAACTATTTTTGCCCAAAATAGGCCTGTGGCTCCCATACAGACCTGGTGTTACCTTACCAGCCCCTTCATCCTCCGGAGACTGCAGCATTCATCATGTGCCGTCTCGTCCCCATCCCTTTAAACTAGGCTTTCACTTCCTCTTGAGTTATTCCCTTATTCACCCTCCTCCTCCCTCCATACTAGCTTCCTGGCCTTTTTAAGGGCTCATGGGTTCTGCCTTCTTCCACCTCCTTAGCTGCAGGAGCTGGTCTGCCATGTGATGATGGGGAACCTGGTCATGTTTCGAAAAGACTCAGTCCTCAACATACTCAGTAAGTGACCAAACCTCTTAGGTACCTGAGAGGAGACAGGAGTGGGGTGTCAGCCATGTGTGCTTTTCACCATCCGAAAAGCTGACTCTGGGGCTGGGAAGTTAAGGGGTGGCAGCACCCTGCTGTGTGGCCTTGGGCAGTGTCCCTCTGGGTCTGTTTCTTGCTCTGTTAATTGGAAGGACTTACCTTGCCCCTCCAACCTCGGGGCTCGTGGGAGTACAGAAGCTGTGAGAAGACTGGAAATCAGTGTTGTGTGGGAAGGGAAAGGGTCTAGATTTAGGGACACTGTCCCTGCCTCTGTATCATTGTCCCATCCCTGCTTGGGGTGCTGCTAGTCAGTGGACTAGCCGTGCGCGTGTGTGTGTGTGTGTGTGTGTGTGATGGGGAGAGAGATGTTTGTTCTGTCTCTTGCAGTTCAGAGCCTGGACTGGGAAACCTTTGAGCAATATTGTGCCTGGCAGCTCTTCCTGGCCCACAACATCCCCCTGGAGACCATAATCCCCATCCTGCAGCACCTCAAATACAAGGGTGAGTAGGGTTGTGGGTTGGAGGCAAGTAGGAGAGGACATGACCTGTCCAGCTGGGGCTCTGGCCAAGCCCAGATCCACTGCCCCCTTCCCTACCACAGTGCACCAGGGCAGGGCCACGGTGAGCCAGGACTGCACAGGGGCTTGCGCGGCCCAGGGACTAGATAGGAGTGGGGTCGGGGCTTCCTCCCGGCTCCTGGTTGAAGACTGTCCTTGCCCCTCCAGTGGCTGTTGGTTGGGGAATGAGAAAGGTGCCCAGGTTCCTTCCCGGAGTCATACATTGCCCTCTCCTTCCCTCACAGAGCACCCAGAGGCCCTGTCCTGCCTCCTGCTTCAGCTCCGAAGAGAGAAGTGAGTTCTACCCCAGGGGCTCTTTAGCCTTCAGTCCCGACATACAAGAGATACTGTGGTATAAAGGGCTTCTGTCCTGCTCCTTTTGCTGTGTTTTTTCCTGTCGTTGACATCTGCTTATTTTGCCCTTCCCCCAGTAGGTCTTACAAATAAGCAGCTCCCCCGGGATCTGGGCTTCCTCTCAACATACCCCCCTGCCCACCAGGAGCTGCCCTTGGAGGTGGGGAGGTGGGGACCGGACATCCCTGTTTCCTGCTGCCACAGCAGTTCTAATCCCTGGTGGCTCCTGCTCCCCTCCCCCATGCTACTGCAAGCTGCCACGTGTCTAATCTAAGAGGAGGAAGGGTCAGAGTAGAGGGATCACACACTGTCCTCTCCTCTACCTACACAGAGCAGAGCCGGCTGAACCCACTGTGCTCCCTGCCAGGGTGGGTGTAGAGGGGAGAGCGCAGAAGACCCCCTTTCCCATCACAGGCGCTGTAGCAGCCTCCCCAGATAAATGGAACCACAGCTGTGTATCTTTTCCTTCCTACCTTTTGCCTTCCTTCCACCTTCTCTCCCCTCTCGCCCAAGAGACTGGAAATGGTGCAGTGTCTTGGAGGCAGTGGGAAGGCGGAGAGCTGTGGGCTGTGGCTTCAGAGCCCTCTCTCCTGCCCCTTCCTTAAGCTGGATTCCAGGCTGGCCCACAGCTCCGGCAGGGCAGGGGTAGGGACACGCACACACCACGTGATTGTCTTTTTGCCTCCCCGGCCCATTTCCTGACAGTTCTGGGGGGCGTGGGGAGATTTGGTGGTCCTCCTTCCCAACACACACGCACACACACCTTCTACCACCAGGGAAACTGAAGAGTCTCACTTCTCATCTCCTGGCTTCCGCAGAGGATGAAACCAGGCATTTCTTGGCCCAAAGGGAAGAGGGAGAGGGATGTGAGAGTAGGAAGCTGCAGTGGGGCTCGGGTGGAGGGGGTGGGGAGGGCGGCATTTGGGAAGTAAGAGTGGGAGGGATCGAGCAGTCCCTGAGGCTGCTTTGCGAGCGGCACCCGGCACCTTGCCCCATAGGCCCAGCGAGGAGATGGTGAAGATGGTGCTGAGCCGGCCCTGCCACCCTGACGACCAGTTCACCACCAGCATCCTGCGGCACTGGTGCATGAAGCACGACGAGCTGCTGGCCGAGCACATCAAGTCCTTGCTCATCAAGAACAACAGCCTCCCTCGAAAGAGACAGAGGTGGGGCATGGTCCCTGTCAACCCTCCAGGCAGGGCTGCTCACATTTCCTGCCCACTGTCAACAGGCCATTACCAGGGCAGTCTGCAGTGACTGCTGCCCTGTGACAGTGGGGGGGGGGGGGTCCATTGCAGTTCCACCCTGGTTTGTTGGTGACATCTAGTGGTCTGAAGCCACACGGCATGCAGTACCGCCATGGCAGGGCTTCCATGTTCTGTGCACATCTCCCTTACCCCAACCTAGCCCACAAAGCCTGCCTGTCCTCCTCCCTGTATGGGTTGCCTCTGCCTTACAGGGGGACGCTGGTGTGGGGTAGAGGACCCTGGTGGGCTGGAGGGTGTCTCCATTCCTGGAACCCTCCCCCCGGCTCAGACTCTGACTCTATTCCTTCCCTCACAGCCTGAGGAGCTCCAGCAGCAAGCTCGCCCAGCTGACTCTGGAGCAGATCCTGGAGCACCTGGATAACCTGCGGCTCAACCTGACCAACACCAAGCAGAACTGTATGCTTCCCAGCCCTCCCCGAGTCTAGTGTGTGGGCTGCCCCGGCTCAGACCACCTGGGGCCACGCTGGGGTCAGGGGCACGACACCCAGGGACAAAACCCAAACTCTTTGGATAAAAACTTTGGGTACTATTGAGTAAGCTCCCACACATCTGATTGTTTTTCCTCTCCTGCTCTCCCTTTCTTCTCCCTCTAGTTTTTAGCCAGACCCCAATCCTCCAGGCGCTGCAGCATGTCCAGGCGAGCTGTGACGAAGCCCACAAGATGAAGTGAGGCTCCTTCCGCTTTTGGCTTTAGGAAGCAGTGGGAAGAAGGCCTAGGGGACAGGAGGCCTGCTGGGGACACAGACTTACCTAGAGTTGAAGAAAAACAGAGACCCAGGCCTGGGGGAGAAGAGGGCGGGAGGTGGCCCTAGGACCAGCATGCCCCACTCAGAGCTCATTCTCCTTTCTCTTAGGTTCAGTGATCTCTTCTCCCTGGCAGAGGAATATGAGGACTCTTCCACCAAACCACCCAAGAGCCGGCGAAAAGCAGCTCTGTCCAGCCCTCGAAGTCGTAAGAATGCCACACAGCCCCCCAATGCTGAAGAGGAGTCCGGCTCCAGCAGTGCTTCGGTGAGGCCCCAGCCAGTGCCCAGGAGGAGAAGGAGCAATAGGTGTGGGTGGAGTTGGAGCTAGTGATTTCCCTCCTCCCCCGCCCCATCTCTTCCAGGAGGAAGAAGACACAAAACCGAAGCCCACCAAGCGGAAACGAAAAGGGTCCTCTGCAGTGGGTTCTGACAGTGACTGAGGCCCTATGGTCCCCATCCCACCCCAGTTGGACTGTCCTCTTCTCCTTGCTGAATCAAAGGTTAATAGGGGCAGGGGAGGTAAAAGGGGAACCACGCTCTTCCATCCCAAGCTCACCCGGTGAGGAGGATGAGCTTCCTCCTCTGGCCCAGCCTGAGAAGCTGCCATGCAGCCCCAGCCCCTCCCCTCCTCTCCTGGGGCCCCCAGCCCCTCACACTGCTGCCCCCACTGATGTTTGGGTTCTCACTGAAGCCAGAGGTTGTGCAAAATAGGACCACGGCGGAAGTCCTCAGCCCCCTGACTCCTCCCCTAGCCTCCTCCCCAGTCTCTGAAAGAGCCATTTCAACAGAGAAGGGAAATGACAAAGGAGCGGCTGGCCAGAGAAACTAGGATGACAGTAGAGACTCCATGTGTAGGTGTCCCTTCCTGCTTCCCCTTCAGGTCTTGATTTGCTCTGAACAGGCATTTTATGGTCATTCCCTCCATGCACCAGTATGAAATGGCTATCTAATCTGAGTGGTCAGGCTTCCCATTCCCAGCCAGGGGGCAGATGTCATAAGCATTCAGGAAAGAACCTGAAAGGGTGGCCACAGCCCGACATGGTGTGCCCTGGAGGCTTGGGTTGGCCTGAGAGGTTGGCACCTCAAGCCGGTTCCACAGAACTGTCAAGTGGTCCCATTTCCTTGGGTCTGTTTTCTTTTTCTTTTCTTTCTATTTTTTTGGCAGAGATAATCGAGTCTTAAAAGTTGGTTTTAAATGACAATAAAACTAGCCAGAATGTATTTTGTGCTGGAGTTTCCACAGGCATCAGGCACTGACCTCGTGCATGTACAGGTGGTCTTGATTTAATTGGCACCTTAGTTGTAGCCTCATAACATCCCCCTTTTCCCTTCTGCCCTGCCCTCCCTTTTGTCTAGAGCAGGAGGGACTTGGCTTTGCCCCCCCCCCGCCCCCCATTCTCCCTGCTACCACTGGAGGTGGGAGCCAGGCACTGACCTGTCTGTGCAGAAACTGATGCTGGCACCATCTCCCTGTAGGCTGAGGTCTGTCCACACCCATTTCTCCTCCAAGAAACTAGAGGCTTCCAAAAACTAATGTCTGTTGTACTCACTCTAATTTATTCAGTCTGTATGCTCCAGTTACTGGAGGGCCTACTGCTTGATGGGGGAGCGATGCTCCAACTTGGCTCCAAGGACAAAAGTGTGCCTGGTGGATGGGGCGCCTCTTCCTTTCACAGTCTGGCCACTTGCTTGTCCACATGTACGTTGGCCATGCCTTTTGTTCTCCTACTGTCCAGAGGGGTTGGCGGGGGGCTGAGGAGAGAGGAGCGAAGTTTGGACTAACTGCAGGCAGCTCCTCCTGTTCAGGCTGCAAATTTCTCTGTTTACAGAATCAAGGTCTCCCCTCCCTCAAAGCTGCTACTGCTTCCTTTGAAAATCTAAACCACTGGAGGCCTCTTTTTCCTTCCTCTTTCCTTCCCCAGTTTCCTTTGCGCCAATTAAAATCAGGATGGAAAGCATTCACTGGCTGGCCCCAATTATTGTACCCTTGCCCAAAGGGAGGGGCCTCCGCCGTGGCCCCTCCAGAAATCTGGCTGTCTGGGCCTCTACCTCTCCCTTACTTCTCAGTCCCCACCCATTCCCTGGGGTAGCTGCTGTTGGCAGCTGGCGGGAGGGTATGGGTCTGGCTGTCCTGCCGGGACTTGCATTACCAAATGGGCCAGGGGCCAAGTTGTTCAGTCTCTCTTGGGAGAGAGCAATGGTATTCTTCTATCAGGGGTGAAAATGATACTGAGGGAAAGATGGACTGGTATCCAAACGCCCTGGCTCTCAGAACTGGACTCCAAAGTCCAGCCAGATCCCTAAACTGCCTAAGAGGAGAAAGAACTTAAAAAGAGAATGACTCTGGGATAGAGAAAAGGCTCGAGCACCGCCCAGGACCTGGTAGGGTGCGAGCCGCGAGCAGTCCGGGAGAGCGCGCCTAGCCTACTAGGCGGAGCATAGGCCGGGAGGGCCGGGTGTCCGGGGCCGCCCCCCTCACGCTCTCCGCTGGTGGGGAGTGGCGGGGGCCTGGGTGGGAAGGGGCGTGTGCCAGCGCACGCGCGCTCCTCCCGAGAAGGCGAGGTCTCACTGCAAGAACGATCGGCCCGGGTTTTTCAGAAGGGACTATCAGGGGTGTCCGAGAGCGGCAGGGCCGCACGGTGCCGAGTGGAGGAAGCCGGCTCCATGGCGGCCCTCCTGCTGCTGCCCCTGTTGCTGCTGTTGCCGCTGCTGCTGCTGAAGCTGCACCTCTGGCCGCAGTTGCGCTGGCTCGCGGCAGACTTGGCCTTCGCGGTGCGCGCCCTTCGCTGCAAAAGGGCTCTTCGAGCTTGTGCGCGGGCCGCGGCTGCCGCCGACCCGGAAGGTCCCCAGGGGGGCTGCAGCCTGGCCTGGCGCCTAGCGCAACTGGCCCAGCAGCGCCCTGCGCACACCTTTCTCATTCACGGCGAGCGTCGCTTTAGCTACGCCGAGGCGGAGAGCCAGAGTAACCGGGCTGCGCGCGCCTTTCTGCGTGCCTTGGGCTGGGACGGGGGACCCAGCGGCGGCGCTAGGAGCGCTGGGGGGGGCGAGCGGGCGGCGCAGGGCGCCGGAAACGCAGCGGCGCTAGCGGAGTGTGGAGGGGACGGGGAAGCCACGGGACGAGCCGCGGTCCCTCTGGCACCTGGAGCGACCGTGGCGCTGCTCCTCCCCGCCAGCCCAGAGTTCCTGTGGCTGTGGTTCGGGCTGGCCAAGGCGGGGCTGCGCACGGCCTTTGTGCCCTCCGCCCTGCGCCGCAGCCCCCTGCTGCACTGCCTCCGCAGCTGCGGCGCGCGCGCGCTGGTGCTGGCGCCAGGTAAGGCTGGAAGCCGAACTGGCTAGGCTGGGGCCAGCCACGGAAAGGGGCGTGTCTGGGGTCACAGAAGGGCTTGGTCCTGTCACCGGGATGTTGTCTCCCTGTTATTCAGAAGTGAGTGGGGCTATGAAGCCGTAAAGCTGAATCTTTGGTTTCCCAGGGATTCTCGAGCTCAGGTCCCAGACCCATTATGGATGTCCATACTCTTCACCCTCACCGAGAGCAGTGCGGATGGGGACTGGGGGTGTGCGGGTAATAGGCTAAGGGGTGGGGAAGGCTACTGGGTCGTGGCCAAGCCACAGAGCTGTACTTTGGCACCCTTTCCAGAGTTTCTGGAGTCCCTGGAGCCTGACCTGCCAGCCCTGAAAGCCATGGGGCTCCATCTCTGGGCTGCAGGCCCTGGAACCCACCCTGCTGGAATCAGAGATTTGCTGTCTGAAATGTCGGCTGAAGCGGATAGGTCGGTGCCGGGATACCTCTCTGCCCCCCAGAGCATGATGGACACGTGCCTGTACATCTTCACCTCTGGCACCACCGGTGAGGGCTGGGCACCATGCTTACCTCCCAGAAACTAAGGCAGAGGAAGGCACCTGGGACCTCCTAACCCTCCCCCCCCCCGAAAAGATGCTGATCCCAGCAGAACAAACTTTCTCTCCAGTCCTCCCACCCCTTCTTCGTTTCTCCACCTCCCCCAAACTACCCATGTTTCCAGGACAGTGGGTCCTGTCCTCAATTTGTCAGGCCTCTAGCTTCTTCCTGTGGGAAACCCAGCAGGGGGCAAACAGGAAGACAGAGTTTGGAGCCCAGACCTCTCCTCTGATCTCCCTGCTACCGCCACCCCACAGGTCTCCCCAAGGCTGCTCGGATCAGTCATGTGAAGATCCTGCAATGCCAGGGGTTCTACCAGCTGTGCGGCGTCCGCCAGGAGGATGTGATCTACCTCGCCCTCCCACTCTACCACATGTCTGGCTCCCTGTTGGGCATTGTGGGCTGCTTGGGCATTGGTCAGTCTCCCTGCTACCACCCCCCTTCATTCCTCCAGCAAACATGTATGAAGTGCTTACTATGGTGGGAGTCCTTCAGGGGAGGGGCTCCACAGGGAGGAGGACAGGGCCCTCCTCTCCAGGAGCTCTGTGCAGTGGGGACCGTTACCACTCACCTACAGACTGAGCAACCAGGAGGCCATACGGTTCACAGGAGGGAAGGGCTGTGTCAGTCTAGGAAGAGGCAAATAGAGAAGAGGTGGGACTTGGGGGCAAGGGTGTGTGCAGAGGATGGGGTATTTGGGGCTGGGAAGTAGGAAAGGGCATTAACCCCTCCAAGGCAAGCTGGGAAAAGAAGAGGGCCAACTGGGGCTGCTGAAGGGGTGATTCTGCCAGCTGGTCCTTCCCAGGAAACTGCACCAGGTGGAGGAGGGGGTCGGGGCTCCACTCTCTACTCATAACCTCACCTTCTTCCTCTCCCCTTCCCACTTCTGGCAGGGGCCACAGTGGTGCTCAAGTCCAAGTTCTCAGCTGGTCAGTTCTGGGAAGACTGCCAGCAGCACAGGGTGACGGTGTTCCAGTACATCGGGGAGTTGTGCCGATACCTTGTCAACCAGCCCCCGGTGCGTGGGCACAGTTCCTGGGCAGAGCCACTGACACAGGGCTAGGTCAGGATATCCTGCTAGGGAGCAAGATATATATATATATATTTTTTTTTTTTTTTTTTTTGAGACAAGAATCTCATTCTGTTGCCCAGGCTAGAGTGCCATGGCATCAGCCTGGCTCACAGCAACCTCAAACTCCTGGGCTCAAGCAGTCCTCTTGCCTCAGTCTCCCAAGTAGCTGGGACTACAGGCACGTGCCACCATGTCAGGCTAATTTTTCTATATTTTTGAGTAGGCCAATTAATTTCTTTCTATTTTTAGTAGAGACGGGGTCTCACTCTTGCTCAGGCTGGTTTTTGAACTCCTGACCTTGAGTGATCTGCCCGCCTCAGCCTCCCAGAGTGCTAGGATTACAGACGTGAGCCACCACGCCTGGCCAGAGCAGGACATTTGACAGGAGGCAGAGACAATTATCAGGGAGTTAGAGGGAGAAGAAACAAGGAGAAGAATGGCAGTGTAGAATAAGGGCATTGGAAGGAGGTCACAGTGGGAGGGGCCTGGGAATGGGGAGCAAGATTTCCCTTTGGAGAGCTGGCATCTTAGTGTTAAAGCTCCCATCCCTCTTCTATTCCTCTCAGAACAAGGCGGAACATGGCCATAGGGTCCGGCTGGCAGTGGGCAGCGGGCTGCGCCCAGACACCTGGGAGCGTTTTGTGCGACGCTTTGGGCCCCTGCAAGTGCTGGAGACATACGGGCTGACAGAGGGCAACGTGGCCACGTTCAACTACACAGGACAGCGGGGTGCTGTGGGACGTGCTTCCTGGCTTTATAAGGTGAGGGATAGAGAGGAAACTGAGACCCGCAGAACAGCAAGATGCTGTCAGGAAGGGGACTCATGCAGCTGAAATGACCCTGGTCTGCCTTCCCCCAGTGCATCTTCCCCTTCTCTTTGATTCGCTACGATGTCACCACAGGGGAGCCGATTCGGGATGCCCAGGGGCACTGCGTGGCCACATCTCCAGGTTCGTGTTCAGGTGGGGGTGAGGCTGGCAGAAGAAGATTGGAGTTGTAGAGTGGGCTGAGATGAAGTAGGCTCTGGGTGAAGTGGGCAGCTGCTCCTGACCCCAGCAACTTTGCCAGGTGAGCCAGGGCTGCTGGTGGCCCCAGTGAGCCAGAATTCCCCATTCCTGGGCTATGCTGGGGGACCAGAGCTGGCCCGGGGAAAGCTGCTGAATGACGTCTTCCGGCCTGGAGATGTTTTCTTCAACACTGGGGACCTGTTGATCTGCGATGACCAAGGCTTTCTTCGCTTCCATGATCGTACTGGAGATACCTTCAGGTATCTGTCCATAACTTCATGACACTTCAGCCTGGACATCTGATCTCTGTGACCCAAACCTCCACTCCCTAACCTCCCACCTCAGCCCAGGTCCTCATCTAATCTCTCATTCTTGGACCTCCTAAACATTTAGTTGCTATGACAGCCTGGCACCCTGACCTCTGACCTCTTTGTCTCCCCACCAAGCTCTTAAAGCCCTGACCCCCAACTTCCAGTTTTAGATCTCTGCTCTCCAACAGGTGGAAGGGGGAGAATGTGGCCACAACCGAGGTGGCAGAGGTCTTCGAGGCCCTGGATTTTCTTCAGGAGGTGAACGTCTATGGAGTCACTGTGCCAGGTGCCTAGTAGGCATGGAAGGTGGGGGAGGCACCCTGCCCACCACTCTGAATTGGTAATGCTTGGGTGCAAGGAGCATGAAGCCTGCATGGTGGCCAGCCACAGCATGGCTCACCCTGGCTCCCACACTCACCAGGGCATGAGGGCAGGGCTGGAATGGCAGCCCTGGTTCTGCGTCCCCCCCACTCTTTGGACCTTGTGCAGCTCTACAGCCATGTTTCTGAGAACTTGCCACCTTACGCCCGGCCTCGATTCCTAAGGCTCCAGGTAACCAGCCATCCCCACCCTAACCCCTCACCCCCATAAGTCTACCCCATATATCAACTTTGGGAGTTTGATGGCTCCCAAGCTGGAGAAAGTAACCCACACATAACACAGTCCCTGAAAAGAATAGTACCTTCCCAGACACGTGCTCTTCACCCCACTTCTTTCCCTGTACCCCCCCCTTTTTTTTTTTTTTTTTTTTTTTTTAGAGTCTCGCTTCACCTAGTCGCCTGAGCTAGAGTGAGTGCCGTGGCATCAGCCTACTTACAGCAACCTCAAACTCCTGGGCTCGAGCGATCCTTCTGCCTCAGCCTCCCAAGTAGCTGGGACTACAGGCATGAGCCACCATGCCCGGCTAATTTTTTATATACATATCAGTTGGCCAATTAATTTCTTTCTATTTATAGTAGAGACGGGGTCTCGCTCTTGCTCAGGCTGGTTTTGAACTCCTGACCTTGAGCAATCCGCCCGCCTCGGCCTCCCAGAGAGCTAGGATTACAGGCGTGAGCCACCGCGCCCGGCCCTTTCCCTGTACCCCTTTTTCTCCCAGCCTGGCTCTTTCTCTTCCCTGTCACCTTCTCTCCTAAACCTTGACCTCATAACCCCTTTTCCCAGACTTGCTCCTTAGCAAAATTCAGGCCCCTCACTTGAACCCACTGGGCAGAATACCTTTTCCTTCAACTCCCTTAAACCCCCTCCTCCTCTCCCCAGGAGTCTTTGGCCACCACAGAGACCTTCAAACAGCAGAAGGTCCGGATGGCAAATGAGGGCTTTGATCCAGGTGCATTGTCTGACCCCCTCTATGTTCTGGACCAGGCTGTGGGTGCCTACCTGCCCCTCACACCTGCCCGGTATGGAGCTCTCCTGGCTGGGGACCTTCGAATCTGAGACCTTCTGTACACAGAGTGCCTGAGGGAGGGACTTTGTGGAATGGGGGCCATTGCAGGCACACCAGGGGCTGTCAGAGATCTTCTATATACCAGATTTGTATTCATTATTTTGTAATAAATGGGATGGAGCCAGTCTGGCTCTGTCTCTCTGATTTGTCTTTTTTGTCTGTCTGTGGAACTACAATTTCCCTCAGAAGTTGGCTCCTGGCATGGAGCCACAGGCCCCTGCATTCCTGCCCTGACTTTATGTGGGCCTGAGCACAGTATCTGGACCTTGGTGTTTTTCCTCTCAGATGACCCTGTCTGATCCTTGTCCCTGAAGAACCCCTGGTGATTGGTGATTGTGCTCCTGTGTCCCATCCCAGTTTAACCCCTGAGTGCTCTGTCTTGGGAGCTAGAGGATGGGAGTGGGGGTGACTTGGCTCAAATGGCAGAGGTGGACTGAGGCACATGGAAACACTGTCCCCTGTGGCCAGCTCCAGTCCCCTCTGCTTCACAGTTCTCTGAGAAGCCAGTCAGTGAGAGGGAAGGGTGGGGTCACCCAGCCTCCGGGATGTGGGTATCTTCACCTATCTTCACCCACTTCTACCTGATGGCTGTCAGGCATTCCCAGAAGGAGCAGCTCAGGTGCCCCTCAGGTTCTGGTGGAGTTTGAAGCTCCCCCTTGGAGCAGGGCTCAGAGTGCATGTGTGTATATACTGGCAGGAGGGATGGTGGCCTCTCCTTGGCCCCTGAATGAGGTGTCAGAAAAGTTCATTACCTAAAAGCTTGAGATAATAAAACTCCTGCTTATCCTAGGAACTAAAGTCCCTCTCTGTTTTGAGCTGAGTCCTTAACATTTTCTGCTACTTTTCCTTGGGTATCTTTCCCCTTCCAGCCTCTTTCCTCAGCATGAGCGGTCAGCCCTACTGCCAAGCTTGGATCCCTACTGCGAACCTCCAGCTCCTGTACGCACGCCCCCTCCCACCACCAAGCCTCACTGGCAGACTAGCAGAGGCACACGCTAACTGAGGTGTAGGAGACATCTTCACTCACTGGCCAGTAAATTAGGGATTTAGCTCTTTCTGCTTTCCTCTCATGTCTGCCCCAGGAAGTGTATAGTAACTAGGGTATGCCTGAGAGTGGGCTGGGGAGGTGGCCACTTGGCTGGCAGTGGGGCACCTCCTGCAGTTGCTCTCCTATAACCTTAGCCCCAATTTCCCAGGCCCAGGCCCATGAGCTGAGCAGCCGTCTCCTCCCTTGTGAAATCACACACCAAGCTCTTCTCCCCACATGTCCTCTTTCATTTGGTCTAAATCTGCACTGTTAGATATGGTAGCTGCTAGCCACATGTGGCTACTGAGGGCATGAAATGTGTCTGGTCTATAGTGAGATGTGCTGTAAATGTGCAATACTCACCAAGTTTTGAAGGCATAGTACCGAAAAAGATGAAAACATTCATAATTGTTTTATAGCACTTACATGTTGAAATACTATTTTGAATGCATTGAGCTAAATAAAATATAGCAAAATTAATTTCACTTAGTTCTGCTTTCAAAATGTGGCTACTAGCCAGGCAAGTTGGCTCACACCTGTAATCCTAGCATTTTGGGAGGCTGAGGTGGGAGAATCGCTATTGCCAACCCTCCAGTTCCTATATACCACACCCCCTCCCACCACCAGGCCTCACTGGCAGACTAGCAGAGGCAACGCTGAGATGTAAGAGACATCTTCGCTCACTGTAAAGCCGGGGGTGGGGTGGGGGGGAATATATATATATATTTAACATGGCCACTAGAAAACCCGAATTATGTATGTGGCTCTTGTTATATTTCTACTGAGCAGTGTTGGTCTAAGTTCTGACCCATCTCACTCTACAGACCCACAAATACCCAAGTGTAACATGTCAGTTGTACCCATCTTATCCCTGCTCTTGAGAGTCTGCACTTAAGCAAAGTCAGCTGAGAGGAGGAGGATTTTGATGAAGGGGACTGAGCCAGATGGCCGGCACTGGCATTCTGTCTTCTAGACTTGTGTTCAGCTTGGGGCTCAGCTCTTTGAACCAGCTATGTCACAGAGGCTATAACTAGTGATAGAAATAGAAAACTGCAAAAAGGATGACTTTTGATTCAAAAGAATTAGGTTTTCCATTTACCACAATTAAAATACATTTTAAAATAATTGGGTTGTCCTACAAAAAAAATTAACTGAAATAAAATTAAATGGGATTATGAGATCTTTTGCCAAGATGAACTAGGTTGGTCCTCAGGTGGTGAGTTCCCTTTCTCAGGGAGGTTGGACACTCTGGGATGCTGGAGTAGAAGAATGGTGGAAGCAGAGAGTATGGACCCTTACCTGGGGGTAGTTTAGGCCACTTAACCTTGACACATTGAAGAAAAAGTAACCTGCACCGATCCCCAACCAGCCTCAAAAGGCAGGAGTTAACAAGCTGTGCCGCCTGTTTTTGTACTGCCATGGCCATAGAGCTAAGCATGATTTATTTTTAAATGGCTGAAAAAAATCAAAAGAATATTTTCTGACATGTAAAAATTATAATGGATTCAAATTTGTGTCCATAAATAAAGTTTTCTTGGAACAAGGCCAGGCTCATTTGTTTGCAATTGTCTACGGCTGTTTTTGTGCTGCAACAGCAGAGTAGAGCAGTTATAAGAGACACTTTGGCCTGCACAGCATAAAGTATTACCATGTCGCCCTTAACATAAAGTTTTCAGCTGCTGCGCCAGGGCCTCGTCCCTCTTGCAACGCTGGGCTACAGGGTTTTTTGTTTTTGTTTTGTTTTCTTATGACGGGGTGCGGGGGTTGTAGGGAGGAGTGTTCAGTCGCCTTGTTTTTGTTGTTGTTGTTGAGACAGTCTCACTCTGCCGCCCTGGGGAGAGTGCAGTGGCGTCACTGTAGCTCACTGCAACCTCCAACTTCTGGGCTCAAGCGATCCTCCCAGGTAGCTGGGACTACAAGTGCGCGCCCCAAGGTCCCGCTGGGGTTTTTTTTTCTTTCTTTTTGGTAGAGATGGGTTGTCACTCTTGCTCAGGCTGGTCTCCAACTCCTGAGCTCAAGCAATCCTCCCGCCTCGGCCTCCCGGAGTGCTAGGATCACAGGCGTGAGCCACCGCGCTCGGGCTACAAGTTTTACTTGCGCGAGCGCACAGAGGTGGGAAGCCCACCGGTCCGGGGACGCCTGGGGTGGCCGCGTGGAATCCCACGGAGCGGAGACATGGTGAGGCAGGGAGGGTGGGGAGGCTCCCTCGGGCGACCTTTGGTGACTTCTCCCAGTGGGGCTTGGCAAAAAGTTCGCCGCCTCAGTCGCTGCCCAAGCCACCCGGGCGGAGAAAGTCGAGAGGGACCAGCTCCTCGGCCTGCTCCTGGCCGCCGCTAGCTGGCCCCGCCCCACAGGCTCCCGCAGCGTGGCCCCGCCCCCACGTAAGCCCGGCCTCGCTGCGCAAGCGCAGATCCGCGCGGGCCGAGGGGGCGGGGCAGGCAGGGGAGGGGAGGAGTCGTGCTCGTGGGCGGGGCGAGCTGCTCGGCGCCCCCACCCGCCGCCGCTGCTGGCTCCTGGTCCGCGCGGAACTGAAAGACAGTGGCGCGCGCCTGGAGTCCCAGCTGCTCGGGATGCAGCGGTGGGAGGATCTCCTGAGCCCAGGAGATGAGCTGTAGTCACGCCACTGTACTCCACCCTGGCCTACAGAGCGAGACTCTGTTCTGGGAAAACAACAAAAAAAAAGATACATGGACGGGTGGAAACAAAGAAGTATCTGGAGTTCTCCCAAGCCTCTAGGAGACAGACGCCGGTATAAGCCGGCCAGAGCAAGAGTGACACCCCATCTCTACCAAAAAGAAAGAAAGAAAAAAACCCAGCGGGCCCTTGGGGCGCGTGCCTGTAGTCCCAGCTACCTGGGAGGATCGCTCTAGATTGAGATCTAATCCACATACTTTTAAATTCACCCTTTTATTTTGTATTATATTTTTATTTTTCTAAGACAGAGCCTCGCTCTGTCCCCCAGGCTAGAGTGCTGTGGCGTCAGCCTGGCTCGCAGCAACCTCAAGCGATCCAACTGCCTCGGGCTCGTGCCACCACGCCCAGCTAATTTTTTCTATTTTTAGTTGCCCAGCTAATTTTTTCCCTATTTTTTAGTAGAGACGCGGATCTCGTTCTTGCTGAGGCTGATCTCAAACTCCTGACTTCAAGCTATATTCCCGCCTCAGCATCCCAGAGTGTTAGGATTACAGGCGTGAGCCACCGCGCCTGGCCAAAATTCTCCCTTTTAAAGTGTAAAATTTAGTGTTCTTAGTATATTGACAAAGTCGTGGAAGCATAGCTACTGTCTAAGTTAGTACATTTTCATTAGCCCAGCTAATTTTTTTTTTTTTTGAGAGAGACAGGGGTCTGACTATGTTGCCCAAGCTGGTCTCAAACTCCTGGCCTCAAGCAGTCCTCCCACCTTGACCTCCCCAAATGCTAGATTTACAGGCATTACCCACAGCACCCAGCCACAAAGATTCTAAATTTTAATGAAGAACAGTTTATTTTTTTGCACAAGGAGAAAAGTTCTTCCCTAAGGAAAAATGAAGATATCTTACATTTCATTTGGTAGTGTAATTGTTAATAGTAATATGGGTATTATGATTTGAAACTATTTTATGACATTGTATCAGAAGACATAGTGGGAGTCAGCATTTACAGAGCAAAAGAAAAAAGATACAAGTATAAAATAATACAATCAAAATTCCTGTATTGTCACTGACAAGGCCTTGAAGCGACAATCAGATGGCAACCAACTCCTTGGAGGAATGGATGATTCCAGGTCTGGGGCAGGAAATACTCAGAATAAGCCTGGGGCATATTGTGCTGGATACAAAGATACCCAAGAATAGGATAACCAGCAAAAGGACACGGAGCTCCCGCTGGCCTAAGATAGGGGGATTTGAACATCAGAAAGATTGCACTTGAAACATTGAATATAAAAAACACACCAGCTCAGAGTGATACTAAAGCGAGGAGGGATAAGAGAGAGACACATTCCATAGAGTCCAACTCCTTACTCTGAAAATTGGCAATTAAAGGAAAGAAGCAAGCATTCGTCCTTCTTTTCCTGTGTGAACTGTATTTCAGGGTTACCAGGTTTGTCCTAGTTGATGTGTGAAAGTTCTTCTTTAGAGAATTC